GAATGTATTTGACAAGTACATCATGTACATGTTTATACTGTAGATGCTCACTCTAGAATAGACATCAGGAGACGGTAAAGAGCCGATTAAATACAAATAATCGAGCGTGATATGCAGTTTTAAGGTATTTGCAGTACCTATATGGCATAGACTTTCTTTTTATCTCGTTGGAAGTCGGTTGAATAGCTCACTAATCTCATCGAATGTCAGAAGAAAAATCGCCATTCAGCTGATTCCAAATCGAGTCAGCCCCGATAAGGACAACTCACTTCAACTAAATGTCCAGCGAACCTGTCTAGAAAAGACCCAGACACACGTATATGAAGGGACATAAACCACTCGAGTCATAACTTATAAAATTACACCGTGAAATCTGAAAATACATGTTCAAGTTGAAAACAACAGTTCAAACTGCCTACCGATCTAGTGGTTTTTATTCGATTGTTTCAAGGGGTCTTCAAAATTCTCGCGATGAAAGTTGCAATTACCCTACTTATATAGAAGTCGCGCGATCGAAACCTATTTAAATCGTAATAAGAAACTATACTTTATGTCTCTGCCAAGTATAAAGTGTAAATATTCTGTAGTTTTTGCAGGATTAGAAAATCTATTCGGGAAGTGCGAATTCTGGACATATGCCGTGATTTTTTAATCACAGGCGCGTAGTGATAATCGTGACGTCATATTTTGGTTTGGCCGCCCAGCTGTAGGGCTATTTCTAGATTGGTTTATATCCAATTCACAAAGTCCGCCATGTTTGTATTTAAAAAATCTAAAAAAGAAATTGAAATGTCCAATGGGCTAGATCTTAATCTAAGATGGCTGACCCCGGAAATGTGAATTATCGAAATAACCCCATGGTCAAAGTAGCCCCATACCTCCAAGTACGACACATATCCCCAATTACATGATTTTATCAACAGACTTTAATACAAACATTATTTTCCACAAATATAAGCAACATCTCTCTCGACTGAAGGATAGACATGGAGACGATGTGGCTTACCACAATGGGTCAGAACTGGAAATTGAGCACTATAATAATGACAATTTGTTATCATATATAATACTATGGTGGTAGACAGTCATGGAGATAGGCAGTCGCCAACTCAACTATGCGAGAATAAACATGACTTAGTCGAGAATAGGGCCAAAACATGTTGCCTTGTAGTCTACCAGGTAGACTATGTTAACAATAGGACATCTTAGATTTAAATATATTAATATGTTTTATATTATTATGTTAACAGCACACGGAATTCAATTTTAGAAATCAATCAGAATGACACATAAGTGATTTATTGTCCAAGTTTAATCCATAATCAAGAATAAAAGGTCATGTAAAAGATGTGTTTAAAGGCCCCAAGCAAAGTTTAAAAACATGTTTTTGTCATTCATTTTTATGTTTACTATTTGTTGTGACATTCAAAATTCTTTTAGTATTTTTGATAAAAAACATTCAAAGTTCATTTAGTATTTTTGGACAAAAAAGTCAGCTTTTTAATTCTCATATCTTCAAATCCTGCCATTTATCAAATAAACGTTGAAATTCTAAAAATATTTCACCATTTGTGCAAAACACATTATCGAAGATTAAACAAAGGACACACTTATTCAATTATAAAATGTCATATCTATGATGTCATTAAGGGTGCAAATATTTTTGTTGAATTAAAAAGCTGACTCTGACTTTTTTAACTTTGGGAAATAAAATACCAAAGTATCACAATTAATTGATCTATATTTGGAAGGGAGGAACACACAGGCAGCCTTATACTCCTAAAACCGATGATGATGATGATTGCCTAATTAGGTCAATGAGTTCATTTCTTGCATATTTATCAACCTATTTTCTCATTTTTTCGATAAAAACATGCAAGGAAGAATGCCATGCACTGGTGTGAATTATCGCTGTGTGACCGGTAAAATTTAGTTTTGAATAAATACACAATTTTTTAAACAAAAAGTACTTCAAAAACCACATATCACATTGGGTGAGACTACAATATAAGCCAAAGTGGTTTAAACTTTATATGGGGCCTTTAAGTGAGAATATTACAATAAATCACAAACACAAACAGCCACTGTATATTGAACATAACGCCTAAGCAGCTTGTAATTGACATTTAATTCACATCCACTCAGTCACCATGGCAACACGCATGATGGCAAAATATTTTGCATTTTGTTTAGGATTTGGAATTTCAATATCTATCACCCAGATATACCTTTCCATGGAAGGACACAAAGGGAAAAATGTAACCAATATTGGGGTACCTTTCAGGGTGGATAGAGCACAAATACAACTTTCCAGAATTAACACTTCACAAAACATTTTACAAGTAAATGCTAGGATACAAACTGAAAAAGTGGCACAAGTTGAAAACAAAACCATCTCAGGATACCTGCATGATAAAAATGCAATCAAATTTGTAACCAAGGAACAGAATGGTGGTGAAACAAAAGAGAACATCCAGAGTAAAGAAATTAAAAATACTGTCCCATCTGTTGTGGTAAAAAATGATGAAACCGAAACTGTCAGAAAGAATATTTCTCAAGTTGAAACAAAAAATCTCGGGGAGAATAAACTTAGGACAATATTCATGCCTCGTTTAGAGTTTAAATATATTATAAACGGGCGTAATATTTGTGCTGGGCAGAAAGTAGACCTACTCATGTACATATACAGTAGCCCAAGGAATATAAAATCCAGACATATCATTAGGCAAACATGGGGTGGAGTAACAGATATAGATGGATATTCCATCAAGCATGTGTTCCTATTTGGGGACTCCATGAATGATAAACTAAATCAACAAATTAAAAATGAGAATACAGAACATCATGACGTCATACAGCAAGATTTCTTAGACTCGTATCGCAACTTGACTTATAAGGGCATAATGGGTCTTACATGGATTAAGGAATTTTGCCCATCAGCAAAATATATTTTGAAAATTGATGATGATATGCTAGTCAACTTACCTCTGTTGATAAATAGGTTAAAACTAATCGATATAAATGGTGATACGGGGAATGATACAAAGTTTCTAATGTGCCTCCTGATACGGGGCAAGCGAGTTGTAAGGGACCCAAACAATAAATGGCACGTTTCTAAAGATGAATGGCCAGAAGACATATACGAAAATTACTGCGCGGGTCAGGGATATTTATTTTCCCAGGATGCATTGGTGGCCATTTTGAACGAATCGCAATACAATAACTACTACTGGATTGAAGACTATTACATTACTGGACATCTCGCAAAGAAAGCTGATGTCAAATTTAAAGATATAATAAACTTGTTCAGATTTAATAGCACTGGGATGATTCCAAGGTTAAATATGTCCCATCCAAAACCCCTTATGTTTTTAGATGCTCAGAGACCTTCATATGCAATACAAATGTGGGATGCCATTCGACATTTCAATGAACAACCCAGACATAGCAACTTCACAAAATAGCAAATATTTAATATTCCAAAATCAGCACAACCTTCTGTATTTCTAAAATGTACTCATTTGATTTAGGATGAGTATCGTACATGAGGATTTTTAATATTGGGTGCAAGGCTCTGACCAGGAAATATTTAGCGTGTGGCAGAAACATCTTCAGCATAACTGTTCATTCGTGATAAATCATATTAGTGTTATACTTCATCCTTTTTACATGCTATTATTGTATATTCAGTCAAGTTTAGACTGTGGGGACAATCAATATTTGCCAATAGGTTGTGGTGGGAGCAAATAGACTGTGGTGCTGCGCCACAGTCTAAAAGCCTAGTGAGAGACAATATGTGAAAGCCACTATGAATCTGATTATAACTGAAGAATTTTCAAAGGACCTGCTCCAGAGTATATATAATTTACTTCAAAATAGTACAAGATGATCTTTTTTGGTAACGCTTAAAAAGGTTTAATTTCAAAACATGTAAGCAAAGATTTATGAATAGAAAATCAGTTTGATTAATACCTTAATGTTGTACACCCCATGCGAGAGAGAGAGAGTTAGGGATGGTCTTCAAATGTTTAATGGTTGTGTCATAATAATGTTTTAAAATTCTGTTAGGGGAGGTGGTTAATTGGTGGAACAATATTCATTGAACACCCTGTAGTTTGATGTTGAAGCACATCAAAATCCTAGTGGAATTCATTCTTTTGTATATTCCTTAATCAAATTTGATGTTATATCGACAGTGTTCACTGGGGATTTTTTAAAATAAAAGCAGCAACAGCTTAATGTATGTTTTATGTAGATTTTGGAGACAGCTGGCAACTAATGTTCTGTTTCCTTATTTTAACCAAAATAATGTCGAGAAAATTTGCATTATTTGATAATTATATACAGCATTTGGCGCTTTAAGCCTTAAACATTAATATACAGTTTAGTATAATAACATTGAAGGAACAAAAACTCATTGTTTAAACATCTAACATATTGATTTGTCAGCACTGATTTTCCAAGGATTTTTTCTCAAAAAGAATGCTTTATCCTAACTTTACTTATTAATTTGCACTTTAGTCAAAATTCAACATTTCACCTCCTGACAGGGTGTCAACAGATTTTCAACAGTTTGGCATATGATTTTCATATTTTCAACAGGTTTGCATATGATTTTCATATATTCAACAGGTTGGCATAAGATTTTCATATATTCAACAGGTTGGCATATAATATTCATATATTCAACAGGTTGGCATATGATTTTCATATATTCAACAGGTTGGCATATGATTTTCATATATTCAACAGGTTGGCATATGATTTTCATATATTCAACAGGTTGGCATATGATTTTCATATATTCAACAGGTTGGCATATGATTTTCATATATTCAACAGGTTGGCATATGATTTTCATATATTCAACAGGGTGTCATATAATTTCTATATTTGAATCATCTAAATATTGATTTCTAATATTAGAGTATTGGAATGTTGGATATCTCATTATCATTTTATTGTTTGTAAAATGGCATCAATTGTTAATTTTCACTTACCTTTAGAGAAAAATTCTTCATTGTTAAATGATTGTTCTGCCTCATTGGGAAAACTATTGCCACCTGGTGTGAAATCTTGAAATTGCTGTCCCAGCGCCACCTGTTGAGCAAGAGCCTCTTGCAGGAATGTGTCTTTGAATGCAAGATTTGTCACTCCTTCCCCTTTATCATCCAAGAAGATGCCTGGGTTATTATTATCTGGAAGTTTCGTAAATGAATAGAGTTAAACCCATAAAGTAGAACTACGTGTATTGGTAAGGGGAACATCTTCATATAATAAGAGTAACACCTTTTTGAGTTAATTACGATCATTTGCAACGTTAAATTGAACTCTATAAGTAGAACAATTCACAGGTATATAGGTGTATATTAGGTCTCAAAATGAATATACCAAATCCAGTGCGAAATATGGAACAAGGCATTTGCATAACAGGACAAATTGGCAGCACCTTGTTGCAATTAAAAAAGTATAACTATCTGTTACATATACCAAGGCTGACCACAGAGGCAACTAGATAACAGCAACGCCATAACGTAGCAAATTCCATCGAACAGCCATTGCTAGCATTTTTACAAATGAATACATAGCAAAAAGCATAAAATAACATTCAAAAATGGCCACCATGTTGCTTGATATAGCCAAGTTGTCTTCCGAAAGAGTAATATGCTTCCCTATTGGTATTTGAATTATTGCCCGGAGGGACATATAGTCTAGATGAAAACAAAGGATTTATCACTGAACCTTGTTTTGGAGTATATACAATGTTTTATTGCATTTTTGATAGTTAGACATGTCCACAAATATGCAGTTTTGGTAGGTTGAATGTTTTTTTCTTTTGTCTTTTTAAAATTATGTAACATTTCTGAAAGGGGGCGTGGCATATTAGGTAGTATTCATGTATTTAAGTGGAGTTAAATATCCCTTATCAGTTATTTTTGTTTAATTTATGACTTGCAATATACATATCTACCTGTGAACATTCTCATTCTGAAAATCTCATTCTCATTCATTAAATCAACACTACCAATGTAAACTAAGTGCAGTAACGATTGTCTGATTTTTATAGCGGGTTCACCTTTGGTAGAACAGAGATTTGTATCATTGTAAAGCTAAGAATGTGCAGAATATGGAATTAATTATATAATAAAATAGAAATGTGTTACAAGTGGAATTAATTGCACTTGAATAATATAACCCTAAATTAGAGTAGAATAAATACGATCTAGTATTTCAATTATGAGTATAGGGGTAAAAGAAGTGTATAACAAGTGTGTTTCTATGCATATTAATTAGCTTATTAATTAACATATAAATTTTAATTCCTTTTTGACATTAACTCAATTTGATTATTTGTGCATTATAATACACTATAGTATCAGTCTTAGCTTGTATTCGCGAATGCAACTGACACCGTCGGCTACCGGATTAACCTACTATTTTAGGGGCAACTCATTTAAATATGAATAGTACCTGCCATAGCCTTGCCCAAGTCGGTATTTTTTTACTTATCTGATCTTGAATTATTACCGCCTTGTACAATCCGATACATCTCCGCTGTTATTATGCTGAAATATTCAATGGTTTCGAGATTTCCATAATACCTACGCTATCAGGGGTATCGCGAAACTTTATTGATTGACAGATATCGCGTAGACACCAAGTGTGACTTCAGGCTGAATGACCAATCAAAACGTTATTAGGTTGAGCTGCATAAACAAAACAAACTTCCCATCTACGACTTGAAATTCAATGATCTGATCGAGTGTTTCTTTATTTAGAGTTACAATATATTATGTAATTAAATGTACATTGGAAGGTAAGAGTCATTAATAACTTAAATCATGCGATTCAATGTTGATTTAAAACTGATTTCGCGATGAAAATGCACGAACACCTAGTCCAATGTAGCGGGTCATGTTGTCGTCGATCGGTGATTGAATCTCAGCCTACATGTTCAGCGATCGTTTCAACGTTTATTGTTGAAATCTTCTCACCTTTGGTTATCCGATCGATGCCCCGACATCCACTAAACTTTCATTGATGTTTATCTGATAAAATATTTGTATTTTCATGATGAATTCGTGCTCAGATTCGTGCAAGATTTGTTCGTGAAAAGTCCCGGTGGAAAGTGTACTTGTTTTTGACCTTGCATAATAATGAGCTAACGCTACAGGGCCGTCGTTGATTGGTCAAATTTTACCGACATAAACAAACTGTCGGTAAAGCACGTGGCTTTCTCTTTGGTACAAGGCGGTCATAATAGAAATCAAGATAAGTAAAAGAGACCGACTTGGGCAAGGCTATACCTGCCACTATTCCATTCATATTTAAATGAAAATGGTAATAAAATAGTAGGTGAATCCAGTAGTCGCTAGCTGTTAGTTGCATTTGAAAAAATGCAAGCTTATATTTTACTCTTACTTCAAAAGGTGGTATTATTAATCTATTGTCACCTGATATAATTGAACCTAAACATATACAAGTATTTCATAACTTCAAAATATTTCCAAAACAATAAGCTTTAACATGTAATAGCAGATAGACTTGAAATTACACATTCAGTATTAAAACAACTTTGCTTATAAAATCTTATATTTTACTTTATTCAACTAAAATTATTTAATTCAGTAATTTACATGATCAAGGAGGGAAATTAGTAATTATATCAAAAATGTTATAAAAACAAGACATTAATGTCAAGGAAGCAATTCTTATATAATCTGGAACAATATCCAATCATCACATCTTCACTTATGTCTGAAATTATTTGCAATATAACCTATATGTCTCGTTTATTCTGCTGTAAGATTATCTTTTAATGTCAATTAAGTTGACATTTGTTTTTGTCACTAATGAGTCCGTATGAGCCAAGACTCAGCACGATTAAATATTGATCATAAAAGAGTATACCGTTCCTTCTTCTTTTTTTAATAGTAATATGTAATCCAGTTCATTCTGACACTAATCTTATTAGATTTAAGCTTTAAAAATACACTTCATTATAGAATATTGATTCTAAAAGGTACATTGTTGCTTCATTGTGAATTCATATCTTTTCAGAAAAAAAACTATCATTCAGACTTGAATTAAATGGCCAATTAGTATTACTGTATATATAACTTTTATTGACATATTGTATCATAACATGATTACATTAGTCAGAACTATGGTAAACTACATGTCTAAACTACATCAACTAAACTTAAAAATACATAAAAATATATAAAGTAACAATAATAGTGTTGTGCAGTAATATTCTGAAGAAATGATTTTGCTCCTAGACACCCTGCTCTTGTTATAGATACGAACGGGACTAATACGCTACATATATGAACACAGTAAATGGTTGAATCCTATCTATTCATTTGTTTGCAATAACCTGTGTGGCATTTTGTGTTAATGTTGCAAGATTATCTTTTAATGTAAAGTTGGCATTAATTTTTGTCACTAGATTGTCCATATGATCCAAAACTCATTAATCATAAAAGAGTATACCGTTTCTACATTTCTCATTTATTAAATTGTAATGTAATCCATTTCATTCTGACACTAATCCTTTTTTTTAAAGATTTAAATTCTAAAAATACACTTCATTATAATATATTGATTCTAAAAGATAAATCCTTGGTTCATTGTGAATTAGTAATTTTTCAGAAAGAAAAATATAATCAAGAATCGAATTAAATGGGCAAATACTATGTTTTAATATTCTGATGAAACGAAATATGGAAGGATGTACGTGGATGTCTTTAGGTTGCTGCTTGTATTGTTAGCTTGAGAATAGCTTTATTCTTTTAACTCTTTGATCTTCTTATTAGGTATTTATCTTAATCCATGTGGTATACCTCACCAATGTGCCATATCAAACCACCGTGTCCCGAGTTTGGCCATTTTTAGCCTGAGAACATGGCCTCCAGGCTAGTGGTTTTTGTGTATTTGAGTATTTTCGAATAGTCCTTCTTATGCATCTTTTCTATAGCTTGGAACTCATAACTGTATAGGTATACATTCACCATTAATTGAGCTGGATCAATTCTCATGAGTATACCTATTTTTGTGGACATAGGTGTTCCCTATATCGTTCGATGGGATAATAAACAAGATGACTGAAACTTTTCAAGAACACCTCTAGAAGTGGAACAACAGTTAGTGGAACACCTGTAGAAGTTGAATACCACTGTTAGTGGAACAATTCTTTGTGGTGACATAGAAATCAATACAATAAATGTTTCGTCTGGAATTATGTGTAAACAAAACTTTCTAGACAAAATTTCAAGACTTACCTTAGAATTTACACAGCATATTCAGAGTAACATTTTTTCAAAGATGAGCTCAAACGTAAGTTCTCAAAAGTTCATCAAACCTGACAACTGATAAAAATGACAACCACGACTTGAAGACAAATAATATCCAAAAACAATTTCTTCAAATGACTTAACTCTTTTAATTGACCCTGATGAAGAAATGAGCTGTTTACGCTTCTCGTTCTATTGAATTATTTCATACATGTGATATGATCAATTAAACTCTTAAACTGGCACCATTAAAGTATCCCCTTACAGTATATACAAGTATATCTCACCCTCAATGGGATTCTCTGGAACAAATGCCCCCAAAGAGAAATTACTTCCTGCCAACGACGACCTTGGACTAAAAGTCAGGTCAACAGCCGCGCCACCTGGTGGGGATGATGCATTTCCAAAACTACCTAAAGATGGCCTTGCTTGAAATATGTCTTCATTCTGCAAGGGAATAAAATGTAGACTATAACAATAAAAAAAGTATAATAAAAACATAAACTATTTATAAAGATAATATAAAGGTACTAAAGGTTAACATTGATAGTAATGTAAAAATTACAGAAAGTTTGGGAGTTATTCCTAGATTCCAGTTAGAAAGTATTATAAGACTGCTGTACTTCTAATTAATTTGGCAGCCATTTTAATTTGGCAGATCCAGCAAGCCTGCCAAACGCCAAAGTCCCCGGTAATTTTAGTACCACGTAAATTAGTACCATCGGTGCATTGTTATATTGCAAGTCTGCCAAAGTAAGTAGCCACAAAATATTAACAACACATCCACCAAAATAAGTAGCTCCAAATCAAGTAGAAGTACAATATATATTTTAAAAGTAATCATTTCTGAAAAGGCCTTTCATGTTTGCAAAGGCAATTTCAGAAAAGCTATTTAATGTAGACACTGAGTGCTACTACAGATATTTATGTTACCAGCTTTGCATTTAAATTGATATGATGTGCCATGGAGATAATCAATTTTATCGTAGGATCTGTAAAATGAAGCCCTTTGATTGGTCAAAAGTTGTGCTGTATCTCTATTGCTAGTGAGATTGTCCCTATTGATCATCTCCAGAGCAATACAGAAACTATTGGTACGGGGGACAATCTAAGTAGCAATACAGAGAATACAGAATGTTTCTTAGGGATTTCCCAAGTAAAATGTATTGGTCTTAAAGATCACATGATAAAAATGTTATAAAATGATTTGAAGTGCAATACAGGATATATTCTGCTCAAGAAATTCTGTATTGGAATGAGACAAAGTCGAGTGCCAATACAGAATATCGAGAATATCATTCAATAACTTATAGTCATAAATGTATGTGCATCATATATGTAAAATCTACCTATGATAGTAAAAGGGCAATGTGGCTAATCAACTGTGATTAAGATATACATACCTCTCCATCTGGCATAGGGCCTTTATTTCTGTCTCCAGAGTCTCCTGGGTAAGCCTGGGACCACTGGAATGAGCTAGCATCCATTGTATACTCAGTGACATCACCATCCCTTCGTCCTTGGTTGCTAGGCAACAAGAAATGGGCGGCTAACATGGATTCCGGTTCATCTTGAGTGGAAGCAGGCTAAAATATACATGAAGTGTACACATTCCTATCTGAGGCTAAAATATATTCGGAGTATATACAAATGCACATAACTGCAAAATTATAGTGGAAACACTCTATGAGCAGAACACTTTTCAGAGTCCCATGGCCAACTGACAAAATGTAAAATGAGCCTATGTAAGTGGAACAACTCCGAAGTGGAATACCTTTAGAGGACCAAAGGTGTTCCACATAAACAGGCTTACTGTAAACTCATTACAGTAAGTGCTCTTACATTTCAACAAGATTGTATTTTTTTATTAGGCACCTGATAAAAATACTCAAATCTGATTGGTTATGAGCTGCAGGGTCTACATGTCCTTACCTCTTGATCCTGTGGTCCAGGCCTAGTATTGTTTCCAAGGGAGGACGCTCCCTCCTCATGATCTATAGAAGCACCAGAGAGTGTCCTCATACGAACATCCATTGTGCTTGCAAACCTGACTTGTCTGTTATTAGGCTCCCATTCTAGATCAGTACCCTGTGGCTGCATGCGGATGGTACCCTGAAAAATACAAACTTTTGATAAATACATATGTACATTTAATTCATTTATTACAAGAGAAAAATGCATTTTTTGTACAAGTTTTGATGGCTAAGAAAGAGTCTATCAGCCAAACTTAATGCAGAGTAAGTATTCCAATCAATCACTGTATATGAGATAATATGACACATAAATAGAGGATATCCTATGATGTTTGATGGATACCATTTTTATCAATGAGGGGATATCGCTCATCTCCAAGAGTAAGCGCAGCGAATGAATGTACATCTTTGATTACATCATTGAATTTCTAAGTTAGAAGGGTTCCAGAAATGACTCTCTATATTTTTGTTTAGCATTCTTAAATCCATGAATTCCTAAGTCAATTGGTCTCTGTGACATTATAATCTCCATGGCTACAATGGACTTTTGGATTTTTAAGTCAATAAAGTTTCGGAATATATTCCTGAAAGTCAGAATACACAAAAAGATAAACAGAAATACTGATGTCCGATGGGTTAAAAAGGGGATCTCATAAAAAGCTAAAAATAGAGGTCAAAAGTAGATTAATAGTTGCCATCATGTAATTTTAATTTCCTCAGTCATATGATGTGGCTAGTGAAGAGAAAGATGCAACAAGTATGAGAATAACTGTTGATGACAATACTACCACTGCTCGCTACTGAGTAGATCATAATGTTAATAGTATTGGTGCTACAATGCTCAATATCAATATAATACTGATGACCATTAACAGCCATTAAGTAAACTAGAAAACGGCAACTCCACGGAGTAGCAAATCCCAACGAACACTTTATAAATCATGAATCTGTACAGTCACAATGTAATATTTACCATCTACTCTTCCCTTCAATAAATATTTGAGATCATTGTCGTGTCATTTTACCATACTTTCAAGATAACTCTGAGTAATGGCGAATTTGTGCTCTAGGCAGCCATTTTGAATTTTCTGAGGCACAAATTAGAAAAACAATACTATAATTGTGATCTACTCTGAAATTTCTTCAATTTGAGTATAATATAGCCATACTTAGAGATCAAAAAATAATTGCAAAATCCTACATTAGAAGGCCATTTTGAATTTTACAAGGCCCGAATCAGAAAAACAATACAATATTTGCAATCTACTCTAAATTGCCTTTCATTTGAGTATAATAAAGCTATACTTCAAAAACATCTCAAAATTAATGCAAATTCCTGTTTTTCACGGGGTCATTCAAGGCATTCAGTTTTTGCGAAAAACAATTCACCAATATACATCTTTCCACCAAATATGAAGAAAAATCTGTCAAATAGTATTCAAGTTATCTTCAGGACAGATGGATGGACTGACTGACTCACTGACTGACTCACTGACTGACTGACTGACTGACTGACTGACTGACGGACAGACGGACAGAGGGCTTCACTATATCCCAACTGAACTTCGTTCGTTGGGATAAAAAGTAAACTCGATTTATGTCTTTTTAGAGAACAAGGCCTGAGGCTAAGCAACATTGACCTTACCGAAACATTACCAAGTCATTCTTAATTGAATTGAATAAGGGTGAAAATAAAGTCATCGTGGTTATTGAAACTAAATTATGAACTATTAAAACGAAAATAATTCTAACTGAAAAATTAAAGAAAAATAACCTATGTGATATTTCAAGCATCGATATGTCGCTGCAAGTAAATTGGAATAATGGACTGACATTTCAAAAATACTGGCTTTCATTTTTACTTTTCATTACAGGAATTCTGTGTGTATTTTACATTATTAGAAGCAATGATGATTTATTTATTTTAAATCTATATATCAAAATGAATGCATCTATCAACAACAGGAGTTTTGACACAGGTAAGGGTTTTGATCAGGAGTCCATTTTTTGTACAAGGACATTCATCTTTTTCTAATAAGGCCAAAAAATAAAGAACCATCGTTTACTTATTTAATGAATATTTGCTGTTTGTCAACATAAAACACTTATTCAGATTTTGAGACGCACCATGTTCCTTTCTATGGCTTTTAAGGCAAATCTGCATGATGAGATTTTTTGCAATTAAGAAAATAGAAGACCACTCAATTTTCTAGTAATTCATACATTCTATAATCCTAAAAATTAAGACTCAATTATTAATCTGGATATACAAAAGCACCTTTTGTGCAAAAATGAAAGATTAAGACTGTGTTTGGAATGAGTTATGTTCATCTGAAAAAAGCACATGGTCATCAAACTGGTAGAAAGTGCAGTCTGACTTTAACAATAAGATGTTCAGAACCATTGTTCACTGTTAAATGAACAATAACTCACAGAGCCAATCAAAAGTAACAATGGTTCTAAAAATGGACACTGGGATAGAAAATGTTATCTTGATCATGCTAAAAAATCCAAAAGGGGAAATAAGAATGGAAATAGAATGGAAACAGGCATGTTGAGTTAATAATGGTATTTTCAAGAAATATGGATAGTGGCAACTGAATAATAAAGTTACAGAGCCTGCCAGCACTCTTCAAAAGTACTCTTGAAACCTTACATAGTTACACTCAAAATCACATTGTTCTCCATAGAATTTCAAAAAAATGAAGACCTGATTCCAATTACTCAGATGCGAGTAGGTAGTAACCAGTTTCGCCACCAGGTGGCTGATTCGGGGGAAATAACATGGCAGGGTATTACAAAATTCCCTTAAACTTGAATATTCATCAGTTTTAGTGGTTCACATTTCATATTACCCTTATGTATCTGATAGTTATATATACAAATTAAAATATGTCCAGTAAAAGAAAATATTATCTGCCCAACACAGGAAGAGATATTTCCATTTTTTGTGATTTTACAACATGGGGACTATGGGGAATCTCCGCGACCTAGAAGTCACATTTTCAAAGAAAATTAAATTTTCAAAGTTGATAAACTCTTTTCAAAACCATATTTTCAGATGTGATTTTACATGTAGATTTCAAATATGACATCAGTTTGACTGAATTTTGAATTTTTAATGACGTAAATCAAGATTATTTCTACTCGCATCTAGGATATTTTCGATAGGCATTCAATAACATAAGCATGACCAAATAACATAGTCAGCATTGTACTGCTTTCAGTAGATCAGGGTAATGGAGTACTAGTACAGCCAAATCACTCGTTAATGGAGAAATTAACAGAAGGAGAATGGATCCCTAAAGAAGTATCTCAATCATATGAAGAAGCTGTAGAAGAAACTCTAGCATCATTGAGGCGTGATAAAAATATTGAAATGCAAACAATAAGTGCAAGAGGAGGTTGTGGGAGACTTATGGGAAGGAAATACACAACAATTTGTGATCCTCATGGAAAATACCCATGTTGTTTTAAAGGGAGATGTGCAAAGGCCTCTATTGAGGACTGTAAATGTGATAAATGTCTGGATGAAAGGACCAAAATCCATCCAGAGTTTCATACATGGACTCCCTATAATATTACATTGCATACATTTCCACCAGAGGATATATGTTTGATATTCCATCGTTTAAACATATCATTATTCTATTCTCTGGGGGATTCACTATCTAGGGGTATATGTGAAGCGCCATGGAAGAACATGGAACCTTTACGAACAACCCCCTGGGATATAAGACCTGAAGATCATTATGGTAGGTAAAATATATAACGTTTGTACAAAAAGGATCAGGTCATCAAGTAGGGGTCCCATAGTACATATTTTTTAATCAATATAAGCACCTAGTGTCAATGTCATGAAGTAAAAAAAAAATGAAGTGTAAAAATGCAATCGGCAAAGTATGAGGTGAAAACTTGCCAGCCCAAAAAATAACACTTTTGTACACATTTGAAAATGAGAACAAGGCACACAGAGAACAAGGCATTAACAAGCAAGATGTCACCACCTGCCATTTGTTATAGCCTGATTACCCCTTGACATTGTTACAGACACCAAACACCAACCATCAAACACCAGCCACAAAAAAAGTTGTGAGATAAAAAAAATAACGTTTAAAAATTCAAAAAGGCTGCCTTAAAATTAACCCAATAAGCTCTGAATCTAATTTCATTCCAAAGAAATAGTTCTAAAATTTCAAATCAATCTGTAAATCTGTTTGTGCTAAATGTACAATAAAGAAAAATGACAAAAACGCCCCTCCTCGACCCTGCCACCTACACTTCTTTAAGATACAATAAAAATGACAAAATTAGTATAACTGAAAAAATGAATTTTTTAAAAATAACATGAAGTAACCTAAAATTACTTCACTCTCATCTACTTCTAGGTCCAGATAACTATACCTGTGAGGACATCTTCCACTTGAGGGGAGATTGCTTGTACCACACAAAACTTGCTGGATTTGAAGTATGCAACACAACAAATATCTATTGGTCTCTATCAATAAAAGTTGAAGGTACAGTAAGACCATTCAGGGCACTCAACATACAAACTAGTCTATCCAATCTTTGATTTTCAAGGTGCTTATAACACATTTTGAATTAAATCAACTAAAACCTTGTAAGTCGAGATGAATCTATCCAGCTCCAAAAAAATATACTGGCCAGGCATAATAAACATTATACTGAAAATTATTTCACCATGTACAATGACCTAAAATATCCTGGTGAGAGTTTGCCCTTGAATTATTTTATTGTTGTCTATAAAAGAGATGAGGGATTACATATGAGATTTATCCTGGGTTAATATGTCATCTTTCTGAGGGAACAAAATGCAATAAAATGTAAGCTAAAGTTGTACTTCTTTGTGATCTTTATATTAATTTGTGGACTTTTAATTTCAGAAGGGACTCCAGCAGAAAAGGCACACCTCTCTGAGTTATTAAATACAACATATCCAGGAGACGTTGTCCTCCTTATGAACATGGCCATCCACATAGGCCTAAATCTTACCAAAGTTCAGACCTACATCAAGACAATACTAACACATATACAAAATACATACACAGATAGGAAGTTCTATATCATCTTTTTCCCACCTTATACTCCTGGATTGCTTAAAGCAAAGAGATATAAAAAACAACAGGAGGGCCCAACGTTGGATTTTACAAACATAATGAAAAAGTATGTAATGGATAATAACGTGAGGTTGACTTACTTAAATCCTCAAATGCTTGTGAAACATTTAATTAGTTATGATGGGACACATTACACACAGGGACTGAATGAGGCCATGTTTCAAATTATCATGAATTATCTGAACTATTCACAAATGTGATACTATATTTGTAAAGTGCAAGTCACATTTGAATGAAGTGCCTACTGTTGTGTGGAATGAAGTTAATATTTTCACATTTGAAAGAAAATCTATTACACAGTCATTTTAAAAAATTTTGTCAAGTGATGTGAAACAGCTGTTCTGAAATTGATATTAGTTTTTAGTGATAGCTGACTTTATATCATCCTTTTAGCCAAGTTGTCCAAAATGAGTTATTGCTTGGACAGACTGACAGATATCTTAAGGTTGCTGCTTGTATTTGTTAGCTTGAGAATATCTTTATTCTTTTACTCTTTCAGGCCTCCCAGACTTCCACCAAAGCGAATATCAGTTCTGACCTCACAAGCTACGTTCCTTGCACTCGAACCACGGTTCTCACATTGCGAACATGAAATTCACGCACCACCATTTCCTAGCTCCCGAACATATTTCTCTACTCGCACACAGAGATCTGTGCTCGTGAATCACTTGTGTACATGTACTTGTGTACATCTCTGAGCTTCTTTGTCTCTAGGCATCAGCATATAGAATTTACATCAAATCTGTCAAATGGTATTTGAGTTATCAAAGAAAACTTACTTTTGCAAAAAATGATGGCCATTTTGAAAATTAGCAGCCATCTTGTAAAATCCCTTCTCAAGCAGGGATCCTATGTCCCTGGGCATCAACATATACAATTTGAACCAAATCCATGTTCTGGTATTTGAGTAACCAAAGATTACATTTTTTTGAAACAGCAACAGCGTAGTATTTGAGTTATCAAAGATTATATTTTTCATGAAAAATGGCCACCATTTTGAATTGAGTGGCTTGAAAATTCCTTCTCGAGAAGAGGTCCTACACCATAAGGCATAAGCCTATAAAATTTTAAATCAAATCCGTATTTCAAAACAGTATTTGAACAGACGGACAAACAGACAGATGGACGAATGGACGGACAGACTGCTTTGCTATATCCCCCTCGAACAATGTTCGGTGGGATAATGAGTTGGTCATTAAATTGCAATTTACTCATTAGCCAGTACACAGTAGTTGCATTCATGAACGCAGCTTTAGTTTTTATGGTTTCTTTATTTTAATTTGCAAAATTAGCATACATATGACAGGGCCTAGGCTGAACTTGGCATTATTGACCCTGTTAATAACAAAACAAATGAGCTCAAAATGGCTACCAACAGGCATGGCAGAAATGTGTAATCATACGCATAAAATATTAATATTAACATGTAATAATAAATGCCCTCACACAAAAAGAATGTAAAGTACGTCAAAACTAAGGAATTACATGCTAAGCTAAATTCATCATTTTGATTAGATAAATGGTTGCAATCATGAAATAACCACATAATTTCATTCTTTCTCATTCATAGGATTTGAAAAGTGAACAGAATGATATGACAGGTATCAGATTAACTGTTGTTTAAATGCTTATAAGCAGATGAGCTTACTGGAATGTCTTGCTACTGAATAGATAAAAATGTGAATAGTATCAATGGTACACTTTTCAATATCAGGATAATATTGATGGCCAATGACAGACATTAAATATAAGAAAATCAAATCGATTCATGGCTTTTTTATAGAGCAAGACTTGAGGCTAAGCAACAAAATACCAAAATGGATGAACTTCTGTTGGAGAAAATTTTATTTTTATCATTTTCACCAACAAAATTGATTATATAATGCAGTGCAGTTATACAAAATAGTTTGTTCAGATTGGCTGGAATCAGACACACCTTGCCAACCTATGTGGCTGATTCCCTCACATCAGCAAACAAGAAGTTGGTGAATTTCATAATGCCTTGGTTAACATACCGGTTGCTTAAGTGAAGGGTTTCTCACTGCATTATTGGAGCCCTTGGAGGTATATACTTATGACATATTCATTTTTCAGTAACCGGATGTTACTATTAACATCTGGGTAAAATATCTGGATACAAATCAGACCCTCCTCTTGGTGAAAATAATGAAAATAAAAATTTCCTCAAACTGAAGTTCATCCATTCTATGCAATGCCTTTATAACCAGGGGACCAGTGATGGCAATGACTCATTTAAATATGAATTATACAAAATCAGGAAAATAATTCTAACTGGAAGGTGGGGAAAAATAACTGGTATATGATAACTCTAGTACCAACATGTCGCTGCAAGTAAACTGGAACAATGGATGGACATTTGGAAAATTCTGGTTTTCATTTTTACTTTTCATAACAGGAATAGTGTGTATATTTTACATTAGTAGAGGCAATGATGATTTATTTAATTTAATTCAAAATATGAAAATGAAAGCAAATATATCAGATTCTGTCAACAACAGGAGTTTTGATACAGGTAAGGGTTTTGATCAGGAGTTCACTTTTGTTACAATCCTGAATCAATTTTCAAGAATATGCATCTCTTTCTAGTTATGACAAAAAATCAAGGAAACATTAGTTACTTATTTCATAAATAGTTACTGCTTCTTCGAACCCTGACATTTATTCATATTTTGGAACACATTTTTTCCTTCTAAAAAAAATTCTCAGAACACGATGTGTCCCGAAACATCAATAAGTAAGTGTTTTAGGTCAGGACAAGCAATAACCATTCACATACTGTATAAGTGGTAATTTTGCCCAATCATTTAATTTGCCAATTGTCTAATTATTGCCAGGTTCGGAATATTATCTTCATAATGTTATCCAATCGTAAGTTTCTTGTCATTAGGAAAATCAAAATTAGGAAAATGATCAAATTTGAGCATTCAGCAAATTAACCACTCGGATTAAATACCATGTATACAGTAAATATCACCTACCAACCCGCAGTCACATGTTCAGTGCACTGTTACTGTTACATGAACAATGACTTGCTGCCAATCTAAAGTAAAGATGGTTCTAAAAATGGCTTCTGGGGTAGAACATGTTATATTGGTCATGATTTACAAAAAAGGTTAAAATATGGAATAAGGTTATAAGCATGTTGACTTAATAAATGTATTTTTAATATATGTAAATGACAGGTGGCAAATGAATAATAGAATTTAAAGAGCTGGCAGCACTCTTCATAAGTAGTCTTGAAACCTTACAAGTTACACTCAAAATTACATGTACTGTTAGATAAAAATTCAAGAAAATGAAGGCTTGATTCCAATTTTTGATAGAAATTCTATAACATCACACCCATTCTCAACAAGCAGAACTGGACATGTTCTTGTGCCAAATTTGTAGTAATCACTTATTTCGAGGTTTTGACAGAATATGACATTTTCTTTATCATTTAAACATAGTCCATGCTACTCAAAGATGTCTAGTATCGCTACGTCAACATTTTTTTCTGAACACAATCTAGAACTTCTCATATCTTCTAGAAAGCATGACAATTTGATTAACTAAATTAAATAGTCAAACTGAAGTGTCTGGATGATGTATAATGATAGTCACTATTATTTAATAACTCAAGATGTCGGAAATATGATGGATTTTGTGAAAAATTATAATTTTTTCAGAAAAAATGTTGAGACGTTGCGATACTCGAGACATCTCCGCATAGCATGGGCTATGTGTCTATGAGAAAGAAAAGCTCATATTCTGTCAAAACCTTGAAATAAGTGAGTACTTACAAAATTGGAGTGAATAACACGTCGTCCAGTTCCATTTGTACGACGTGTTGATAATGGGGTGTGAACATAAGCATGACCAAATAGCAGTCAGCATTGAACTACTTTTAATAGATCAAAAGAATGAAATACTCGTAGAGCCAAATGACTCAATTATGGAGAAATTAACAGAGGGGAAATGGATCCCAGCAGAAGTATCTCAATCACAGGAAGAAGCTGTGGAAGAAAATCTAGCAACATGGAGGCATGAAAAAAATATTACAATGGAAAGAATTAATGCAAAAGGAGGTTGCGGGAGACTTCCGGGAAATAAATACACGACAATTTGCGACCCTCATGGAAAATACCCATGTTGTATTAAAGGCAGATGCACAAATGCCTCAATTGAGGACTGTAAATGTGATAAATGTCTGGATGAAAGGACCAAAATTCATCCAGAGTTTCATACATGGACTCCCTATAATATAACATTGCATACATTTCCACCTAAGGATATGTGTTTGATGTTCCATCGTTTAAACATATCGTTATTCTATTCTCTGGGGGATTCACTATCTAGGGGTGTATGTGAAGGGGCATGGAAGATCATGGAACCTTTACGAACAACCCCCTTGGATATAAGACCTCAAGATCAATATGGTATGTACAATATAAAGTTTGTAGAGATCAAGTGATTATTTCCATATTTTCTTCAGAATACAACACTCCTTTTCTCCACCTAAAAATATGTTATTACACTCAGTTGCTATTTTTAAAAAATCATCAATTTTTCCTCAAAAAACAAAATGGACATTCATCCCTTTCTTAGACCTAATGAACTAGAAAATAGCAACTCCACAGAGTAGCAAATCCCATTGAACAAAACATATTTTAATAAATAGTGGCCATCTTGAAAATTTCTTCTTGAACAGAGAGCTCCCTTCCTGTGTCAATTTTTACACAAAATCAGGAGAACACTATCCTTAAAGTACCACACTTTTATCTAGGTCCAGATAACTATAAATGTGAGGATATTTTCCACTTGAGGGGACATCGCTTGTACCACACAAAACTTGCTGGATTTGAAGTATGCAACACAACGAATATCTATTGGTCTCTATCAATAAAAGTTGAAGGTACAGTAAGACCATTCAGGGGAATCATCATGCAAACCAGATTTCCTAGATACTTATAATACATGTGGAGTTGAATCTATCCAGCTCCACAAAAAATGTATTGACCAGGCATATCTGTCTGCAAAGTCTTAACTGGCCTTAATTAACAATTCTATAATGTAAAATGTAAGATTTTAAAAAATCAATGCGATTCATGTAACATGACAGAAACGTTGAAATGAAACTGATTGTACCAAGTACCTCACCTTAAAAATTCATTTGAGGACTTTTAATTTCAGAAGGAACTCCAGCTGAAAAGGCACATCTGTTCGAGTTATTAAATACAACATACCCAGGAGACGTTGTCCTCCTTATGAACATGGCCCTCCACATAGGCCTACAGCTAAGAAAAGTACAGACTTTCATCAAGACAATACTTACACATATACAAAATACATACACAGATAGGAAGTTCTATATCATCTTTTTCCCACCTTACACTCCTGGATTACATAAAGCTAGAAGATATAAAAAACAACAAAAGGGCCCAACAATGGATTTTACGATCAATATGAAAAAGTATGTTATGGATAATAACGTGAGGTTGACTTACTTAAATCCTCAAATGCTTGTGAAACATTTAATTAGCTATGATGGGACACATTACACACAGGGACTGAATGAGGCCATGTTTCAAATTATCATGAATTATCTGAACTACTCACAAATGTGATACTATATTTGAATATAGTACCTATTGCCATGTATTAGCTATGATGGGACACATTACACACAGGGTCTAAATAAGGCCATGTTTCAAATTATCATGAATTACTTGAACTTCTCACAAATGTTAATCTATGTTTGAATATAGTACCTACTGTCATGTAGAATGAAGAACCTACTGTCACATCAAATAAAGTGGCTATTGTCACATTTGAGTAAAGTGCTTGCTGTCACATTTGAATTAAGTACATATGTCTGTGAAGAATGAAGTAAATGTTGTCACATTTGGAAGAAATATCTATTGTGGCATAGAATGAAATGTGTAGTGTCATGTCAGATTTGATATCCTATCACATTTAAATGAAGCACTAATTGTCACATTTGAATGAAGTACCTATATGTAGTAGTAGTATATTTGTTTATTAAAGTCTCACATGTCTCCTGGACATCAAGCCGTTGACGGCTTAGGAGAGACTATAAAATGTAGTACATTAAAATTCAATTTTTAAAATGGTGTTTAAAATATAATCAGTTTAGCCATATTAAAATATTAATGTTCTTCTGTGTTTCATTATATTAATCAATGTATTGGCTAAAGTCCTATGTAGGTTGGAGTTCATAATGAGAGCATATTGAACTAGATTATTGCACTGATTAAAGTCACTATATAAAATATTCATTTTGTTTATAAGTTCTTGCCTTTGTTGTTCATACATATTGCAAGATAAAAGAATGTGTCTTTCATCTTCAATTGAGCCTGTCCCACATATACAAAGTCTGTTATCAATGGGAGTTACATATATGTATTGTCATATTTGAATGACTCAATGATGTACATACTGCCCCATTTGAATGAAGTACAGTATGTCACATTAGAAAGTAGAACCACGCTAATTTATATGACAGACTTACATTTAATGTACCTGTAAGGGGGTGTTTCATATATTGGTGTATCAATTTTCCACATAACAAATTGCATTAGAGATGGGATAAAAAACTTGGTTTTGTCAATGGAAAAAAAGAAAAATGTTAGTTCAATATATAATTTGTATGATACTGAATAGCGAGCAGGGCTGAGCCATCATAAAATTAGTTTTGTGGAGAAACATCGAAGTCCTGATCTGACCCCTTTATTTGTCAATTAAACTCAATCACATCTACATTTGATGGAACGGGAAGACCTAGGGCATTTATAGAAACCAACACAAAGACAATTCAAATGCCACTATTTAAAAATGAAAATGAAGGCAAAAGAATAGAAACATCAGGAAATTAAATCATACACAAAAAATTCATGATTATTATACAGAAATCACGATAACTTTTGTACAGATAATGCACCAATTCAACCTTTGTTCACAGAAACCTAACAATTTGGAGTAACATAAAGACAACATCAATGATGGTATGAACAATAGTATGGCATTGAAAGACAATTACAAACTTGGAATGACATTAGGAAAATCCAGTTTTTTATTTATCATAACAGTCTTAATCTATGGGTATTACATTGTTAGAACATATGATGTTAATTCATCCATTTCATATCCATTTAAGATGAAAGCAAGTGTCAACAAGAGGAGCTTTGATCATACAGGTAAAAGAGAGAAATCTGGGTACACCTTGAATCTGAAAGCAACTATTTAGTGCAAATTCAACACTAATATTGGTGTTAATTCACTACAAAATCAGTTTTGTTGTCACTTAGCACTAAATTCTTTCTAATTTATTGCTGAGAATTAAATAAGGGATCAACGGTTTCTGGGGTGGCATTTTGGAGATTCAATATAAGAGATGCTCAAAAAGTGCTTAATTATTATGAAATAGTGCTTTAATACTTTATAAATCAGCATTATTTCTGGACTGTAATGTGTCATTGTGGCCATGCTTTCAAATACAAACAGTGGAAAAGAATAAAATTATAAAAATAAATAAATAATCATAAACACACATCTGCAGCATCCTTTAATGTATTCCAAAAGGAGATTTTTACTTCCTGTTTTATTGATTTTTGTATAATTATTGGTCGACTCATGAAACTCAGAATACATAACAGTGATTAGCTTTGCCCAAGTCAGTATTTTTTACTTATCCTGATCTTGAATTATTACCGCCTTGTACAAACTAATGCATCATCACTGATATTATGATAAGTTATTCAGCGGTTTAGAGATTCCATAATTCCTACGCTGTCAGGGGTATCGCAAAACCTCAAAATTCATTTTGTAGCATAACAGAGATTCGCAAAAGATTTTTTGACAACGGGCAAAATGATGCATAACAATGGCAAACTTATTGGACCTTTTTATTCAAACATAGCTCAAAACAAGCGGTTTTAATTTTTTCAAAAATTGTGAAAATCTTGCCTGGTGCAAATGATATCCTTGAGTGACATGACCAAATGACACAAACAGTAAAGAAAACCTCTAAGTAGAACACATCCATAGTGTGCTGGTAGAACCAAATCATGAAATCATGGACAAACTGACAGAGGGTGAATGGCTCCCTAAAGAAGTCTCAAAACCATACAGGGCAATTGTGGAAAGAGCTCTAGTGTTACAGAGACATAAGATCAATGTAAAATTTGAAACAAGGAAATATGGAGATTGCGCTGGTAATGTACCCAATAACAAAGGTGGATATAGACAGTTATGTGACCCTAAAGGACCATACCCATGCTGTAAATATTCAAGATGTGAGAATGAATCAACAGATGACTGTAAATGTGAAAAATGTTTGGATGAAAGGACCAAAATCCATCCAGAGTTTCATGCATGGACTCCGTATAATGTAACATTGTATACATTTTCACCAAAGGATATATGTTTGATATTCAATCGTTTGAACATATCTTTGTTTTATTCTTTGGGGGATTCACTATCTAGAGGTGTGTGTGAAGGGGCATGGAAGATCATGGAACCTGTAAAAACAAGCCTCCAGGATATAAGATTTACAAACCTCAATAGTATGTGTATAGTATTTCCCCTATATGTATGCTCTCAAATTATGGTTATCAGTATTATACTTTGAAAGTCCTTGAATGACAACATGGCAAGAAACTGTCAATTACAGTATTAGCGAAATAATTATTACTTTACATGTTTCAAACAGAATTCACCAAATTAGAACACAGTGATAAATAAAATAGTTTTATATAAATAAACTATTTTCACATTTACTCTAACCAGATCTCCATGGGCAGATCATGAGCTTAACTTGTACATTACCTTTTTATACACTGGGCATGAAAATCAATTTATTTTATCTTAACTTATTTATAACAGGTACAACGATTGCCAACTGTGATCAAGATATCTTCAAGTTGAAGGGAAACTGTTATTATGAGACAAAACTTGCTGGATTTGAAGTATGCAACTTTACCAATGTCTACTGGTCAAGATCAACCAAAGTTGAAGGTAAACTCATGGTTTTGAAAGTACATTTACTGCCATATTATCTTTGAAAGTACATTTACTGCCATATTATCTTTTGAAAGTACATTTACTGCCATATTATCTTTTGAAAGTACATTTACTGCCATATTATCTTTTGAAAGTACATTTACTGCCATATTATCTTTGAAAGTACATTTACTGCCATATTATCTTTAAAAGTACATTTACTGCCATATTATCAACTGAAGCAGCTGTATCCACTCAAAAATGATTAAAAATCATTATGAAATGGCAAATGGCAAAAAATACTTGGGGGATTTATGCTGCATTGGTCTTAGTAATACATTGAAGTATTATTCTAATATAAGGTCATACATATGCAGCTGCGATTATATGTATTTAGAAAGTTTTTTCTTTCTTTCAGAGGGGAGTCCAACTGAAAAGGCACACTTTTCAGAAATGCTTAGCTCAACTCATCGGGGGAATGTTGTATTTGTTATAAACATGGCCCTCCATGTGGATCTCAAAACTAGCGTTGTACAAACCTTCATCAAGACAATATTAACACATGTACAACATACATACACAGACAGGAAGTTCTATATGTTTTATTTCCCACCCTACATCCCTGGATTACTAAAACCTCAGAAACATGTAACCCAACAGGCAGGTCCAACATTGGAATTTACGAATATAATGAAAAAGTTTGTGATGGATAATAACATAAAGTTGACGTTTTTGAATCCCCAAATGCTGATGAAAGATGCAATTAGTTATGATGGGACACATTACACACAGGGACTGAATGAGGCCATGTTTCAAATTATCATGAATTATCTGAACTACTCACAAATGTGATACTATATTTGAATATAGTACCTATTGCCATGGATTAGCTATGATGGGACACATTACACACAGGGACTGAATGAGGCCATGTTTCAAATTATCATGAATTATCTGAACTACTCACAAATGTGATACTATATTTGAATATAGTACCTATTGCCATGTATTAGCTATGATGGGACACATTACACACAGGGACTGAATGAGGCCATGTTTCAAATTATCATGAATTATCTAAACTACTCACAAATATGATACTATATTAGAATATAGTGCCTATTACCTACTAAACTACTCACAACTGTGATACCAAACAAAGTAAGGACAAACTCAAATAATTGCACAATTTTTGATTGGTGATAAGTTTTAAAGGATATATTCTTAATATTATTAGTGATGTGTACCTTTGATTCTGGCCAGATACAAAATATTTTCTTTCTTGAAACTAAGCTGTAATATAAATCCATAAATCTCAATGGTCTTCCCAGGATTTTCCCTACAGGTTGCAACTTAAACGATTAACATATTTAACTTAGTCATTAAAAGCATTGCAACAAATATCATGATGGTAATTTATCTCTCAAACACAGTTTTCATGAAGTTAAATATATAAAACTCTTTAGCATTTCTATCCAAGGGAGAGAAGCCTTGAATAGGTGGCAGGAGGTGAATTTGACCACATATGAAGCAAATATTACACCTACTGTTTTGGAATTTTTGCCACCTATATCTAATATCTAATAACAATGAAAGGCTAGATAATATACTTGTCTGTTGACTCTATCTCTCCATTTATCATATATTTCCATGTTAATTTGTATTTTAAAAGCTGTCCATTATATCATTTGAGGATAGTGTATAATTGTCATTAGACATGGAAAAATATGGGAGGGTGTAAATGAAGATTGCACAAGTGAAAAATATTGATTTTGAAGTGAAAACACCCAACTGTCAGCAATTGGATACCATCACTTTTAAAGCTCTGGTCACATACCTGTATGTTATTCTGTTCTGCTTCACTAGCACCAATGCCTAGGCCACGAAGAATGTCAAATGTCGTCTGCTGGGGGAAAGCCCCCAGGGGGTGACTTCCTGTACTAGAGTGTACTGAGCTTTGAGACATAAGTCCATCATCACTAAAAGAGTGTGAAAAACTAGATTATGTTCAAAACCATTGCACTGTCAATCACACCTATGATCTCCATTGATATATCTTGATTGATCTTTCTTAATGGAAAACAAAACATGTAATTTTACTTTATTCTATTCATGACAAAACAAGTAAAGTTAATCAAACATAAAGATTTGTCAGTCTAGCATTGGCCTCCATATATAGACTAAAAATCCATTACACATAAACAGCTGGACAAAATGCTATTTTGGGCTTGTAGAGGACTACAATGAAGACTAACCTTTCATGTCCACTGCTCCCATCTCCTCCACCACCTCCATCCCCAGGCACAGGAGATGGAATGGCTATATCTCCCTCAGCACTCTGGCGTACATTCATATCACCATGACGATCATTCAGTCCTTGGCTTTCATTTTCATCAGAACTTCCCCCAACTAAACCTGAAAAAAATGTTGCCATTCTAGATGAATAACCAAGTTAATTCTGTGTTTAACATACTGTGTCTTGTATAACGCTGCCGTTCAAAACATGTATTTCTACAAGTTTGAGAAATTAATGAATTCAAACAAAAATATACTAATAAAACTTTGTAAATTTCTAATCGAGGCTGGGCAAAAAATGTATATGTATAAATTTTATTTTAATGTTTGCTATTGTAGTATAGTTAAGTTTGTTTTTTGTATACTCTTATATCCTATAAGAGGTGAATTGAGAAATCAATAAATAATAAAAAATACACTTTACAGTATATGTGAAATGGCCAAAAAATAAGTTAACTCTGCGTTTAACATACTGTGTCTTGTATAAGCTGTTGTTCAAAATGTTTTTCTACAAATTTTACAGTATTAAGAGAAATGGCCAGGAATGCAAGTTAACTCTGCGTTTAACATACCTGGTCTTGTATTCTGATGTTGTCCATCCCCTCTTGATCTGTCACCTCTCCGACGAACGAGGTCATCTTGTTCCTAAATACATGAATAAGGTATGTTAAAGGATCTTATCCTGGATTTAATGAGTTGTTGGCAATTATTGCTTGAGTTTCTTGTTTGAAGATTACACTGAGGGCTTTTGTTTGATTTTTAAGGCTAGCATTCAAAAAATTATTTTTTATTCATTTTAATCTGCTATCTTATCATAGGATCTTGACATTGGATATTGTATTTCGGGGAATCTCAAGAATTTGAACCCATTGAATTGATTTACTATACCTGTTGGATGGCTTCCAGCTCATCTTCAGTATCTAGATCACTGCCACTTCCTCGTCCCCTATAGCCCCCTGGAGGCCTAGAGGAAACAGGGCGTTGTAGGTTATAGCGAGATAAGGGACCTTGCCCATATATGGATGTAGGTGGGTGCTCGTCACTTCCATTACCTTCAGCACATGGTCGGTCCATGGTAGAATAATCAGGAAAATGACGCTGGGGTTGAGCCTCACTCACGGGGATTTTATCTAATAGGTTATAATCGGGAAATTGTTGTGCCTTACCCACCAGATGCTGTTGTGAGGGGCTTGCTAACAGTTTCTCATTTGATAAGAACTGCCTTAAGGATTCACTCATTTCATTTTGTTTGTCTGTTCCTTGATTCATAGAATCATCCAGTATACTTTGACCTTCACCTTGAAATTCATGACCTTGACCTTGATCGCGTCCCTGATGACCTTCAAAGTTCAGGTGTGGGTCAGATTTATTATCCTCTGTAAATGTACTATTATTATCCAGATCACTGAAATCATCATCAAAATCTTTAAGCTCATCATCTTCAAATTGCACCTCGTGTATACTAGCATCAACATCAGTTTCCTCAATAGGTGGTGCTCCAGTATTCACAAGATTTATATTTCGGGGTTGGGGCAATCCAGGGATATCTGTTTTTTTCCTAATGGTAGAAGCCAAAGGAGTTTCTCCAAATGTGAAGGGTGTGTCCGTTTTCCGCATGGAGCCCAAGGGAGTAGGATTATGACCCATGGGGGTGGGGTTATGGCCCAAAGGTGTAGGTTTATGGCCCGTGGGGGTGGGATTATGGCCCAAGGGGTTACGGTTATGGTCTAAGGGTGTAGGATTATGCGAGTTCAGAGTGGGTGGTGGCTGTTTTTCTGGACTGGGCAAAATCAAACCAGATTGATCTAAATCTGAAAAAGTAAATAACAACAGACATTTTAATTTGACATTAATTAATCCTGAACTAAAACTCCAATGCAGAACTATAAAGTTGATGATGTAGAAACTTTTTATTCCTCCAGAATTCTAGATGATATCAGGCCCATTGTTATAAATAAGAGCAAATAGCTTGTTCTGACAAGCTAGTCTTGAGTAATAGATAAATGTGTTCATGATAATATTCATTGCACTAAATATAAACCTCCATTTTCACGAAAATAATGCTTTAAACACAGATTTGATTTAATCTACCCAATGAGCCTCATGTCATATTTACCTTGCATCCCATCCAGGGAAAGCAGTCCCATAGACGACCTTGATGATCTACCTGATGCACCCAAGGGGTCTTCCTGGTTGCTAGGCAACATCAACCTGAAAAGATAGTTTCATTCGGTATGTCAAAAATGATAGACAAGTACAGTCAAAAAGCACACTTTTTAATTCAGAGAGATAGTAGAACATACAATCAATTGATGATTTGCTATCACCGGATGGATTCTATCTTGTAGTGACGTCACAATTAGGCCACTCAGCTTTAGATGTTTGATTTTGAGAGATTATCTTCTATATTTCGTGCTTTATTGATTTATTTTTCACAAAAGTGTTCGATTTGACTAGATCAACATTCATTCTAAGCAGATGTCAAGTCTAAGATCCTACTGACATGATTTAGATAGCGGTTAAGCGCCCCCCAATTTTGATAAAAATGGGGGGCGCTTATACGCATCGATGTTTAGTATGAATTTCACCGAAACTTCACACATATAAAGATAAACTCATGATCTAGTCAAATCGGCATCTGGTAAATACCCGACCCATAGCTTTCATGTCCGCCATTTCGTGATTCCATCATGTCTTATATCATTTCTATATGACGTCACACCAATAAGACGAAATACATGACAACAGTATTCATAAACAAAATTCCTGAATTCTGATCGCAAAAGATCAATTAGGTATTACATTTCAAGAAAGGTCCATGATTTGTTGTTATTCGAGGTTCAGAGATTTCTTCATTTTATTTTATAATACCAGCCTCTAAAAAGGGTTTGAAACCAGAGCATTTTTCATTTCTGCTAGTTTTCTGGATATTTAAATCTAAAAACACAATGTTTGATATTTGATTTCATAAGAATAGTAAACATAGACCCATTACATCCATTCTAAAACATAATTTGTGAAGATTGGATAAAAATGCCAAAGTTAGAGTAGTTTTAGTGAAAAATTCTGTGACAGATATGGGTTCCAAATGGATTTGATTTGTGACAGATGTATCTGTTATTCTGGGTATACGAGGGTTGTCCCAGAAGTAATGCACTATATACTCTAACTTTCTTTAATATTCTTCAAATAAGCTGAAATTTTGTGTATATAACAATTGAAGTTTTATCTGTTATATCCTGAAGTTTCAGCATCAAATATTAGTATTAAGTCTTAATATGGTTGCTATAGCAACATGGGGGTAGGGGTGGGCGGGGCAGGTACCGATTTTTCTCATTATGAAAAGATCTAAAGTGTTATTTTATGAATATTTCTTTCTTTTAAATGGTCAAAATGTTTGGGAAATTGTTAAATTTATTCAGCATGATGTTAACCAAGTACAAATAATGACATTACGCACTGTGATGTCATAATACCACATTTCAATAGTCACAAATTCAAATACAGTCGCAGTCAAGAAATTGCAAAAATGGCTGCAATTCTCACCTGATAACAGAAGGCCTTGCGTTTGGTGGCCTAATTTCATACTTCACTTGGACTCACAGCCACACAAAACGTATGCTACCATGAAGAAAGTATATAAGGAGTATATACCAGAAAGAACTACACTTATGAGGTGGCAGAAGAGATTTAAAAGAGATGATTTGACCCTGGATGACAACTCCAAGCATGGAAGGCAAAAACTCCACAAGTCACAGTGGAAGAAATTGCCAAGATTGTTTGACCTGACAGGCATCAAAAGTACATAACATGCAAAGGGCAATATTTAGAGAAAATGTGAAATGGGACACTGTGCATTATACATCCATTAAATCTAGGATGTGCTCATGGTAATTAAACATCTTAATATGTATTTTTGAGCATACTTCTTATAGCTACACAAAATGGTATTTGTTGATTAATTATTTCATATTTTCAATTTTTTATTCCTTTTGACGTGACTGTATAACCTGCCCCACCCTACCCAGACTCACCAACTTGATTTTATTATAACATCGATATAGTTTTATTAATCAACATGAAAATTTGTTGAATCATCAAAATGTCTCTAAGGAACATTTACTGAAAATTTCATGGAAAAATATCAATTATTGATAAAGTTAGAGCATATAGTGCATTACTTCTGGGACACTCAAAATGTCTCTAAGGAACATTTACTGAAAATTTCATGGAAAAATATCAATTATTGATAAAGTTAGAGCATATAGTGCATTACTTCTGGGACATACCCTCGTACAAGAGGTTAATAGAAGAATTGAACCTGCTAAACTGCTCTCGATTTTCCATTCCATTTCCACCAGTTCTGCTTTTGGAGATACCCTTCTGTGTAAGGTCAAGGTCACTGAGTTCAATATTGATGAGACCTAACTGGTCTACATTGACAGGGGGTGATGTCTCTGCTAAGTCATCTAAGAATGAACCTAGGGCTATTCGCTCTGTGTCAACTCTACAATATAAACCATATTTATGATAACACTAATACTGTAGTGTTTCTAAATGTATTATCATTTACACTATCGTAAATAATTTAGAATAGGATGACTTTTTTTATAAACATTTTCTGTTTCTGTAACCTATAAGAAATCTTACCCAATGTTTTTACTATGGCTTGAACGTGCCCTTAGGCTGAATTAGTTCACCCCATAAAAGCTTCAAATAATATCACACATCATTGTTTTCTGCATGTGAAAAATGCAAATTCTGCACAGAAAACTGCACAAAAAAGTCAAATTGCATGCCAAATGCTGCTAGAATTCCAAAAGATTTTCACCAAATTTAGCAGAGGAAAAAGAAATTTTGTGTCTATATATGCATTTACATCTGAACTATCACGAAACTGCAGTTCAAACTTTGTGACATATTAGACTACAAAGTGCAAAGGCAGATTCGAGAAATTTCGTGCCAAAATCTTGAAAGCTAAAATTCTGCATTTTTGTGGCAATGATTGGGTTCTCTGAGCAACAAACCATTTTATAGTTCAGTAGTTACACAACTAGATCAAAATCATTGTGAGAACTTTGACAAGATGTGTGTAATGACCCGAGGCGTCTCTGGGGGGCGCTGCAGTGTAACAAGACAGAAACGGGAGATGAAAGAAAGGAAGTGTGCAAAATACAACGCCCATGTGGGAATCGACCCCGGGACCTTCCACTCCATTGACTGATGCTCCACCACTGAGCCATAAGGGCAACTTGCTGTAAAGGGTCATTACAGAATGTTGTATTGCATGTATTGAATTATATTGAATCTACTCACTGCCTTGATTTTCTAGCCAGTCTACCAACTGTTGAAGCTGCTTGTGGTTCAGGTGTACCAAATATCGTCCTCTCATCTATGTTACTGGACCGACCAAATTCCGCAAGCATAGACGGATCAGTGATGTCAAACTCTGGAGATGGTGTCTGTCTTGACATATTGGGGTTATCGTTTTTTATTCTAGAAATAATTGCCAATCTTTTTTAAAAATTATAATCCAGAGTGCTCAGTTTACCATAACTGTGAACGATCACGATTCACGAAGCCAAAGTTTCTCGATTTCTGACGTTTTTGAAAAATCAAAATCTCTCATAAAAGTAATATTATCGCCGATTGAATTAAATATACTGATAAAAAACGATACACAACCATTTTCCTGTATTTGCTGAATTTACATTATAATCTACAAAGCCATATATGCTAGGAATACCTCTTAAATAGGCAGAAGAAAATGCATTATGAATGTTTTCAGTTTTGAAATTCCGCCATTTTTACTGAATGAAAGAACCATGAGACGCCCCATATCAGTTTTGCCATTTGAAGGGACCTGTCATTTTGATCAAAAATATTTGATTTGTTGTAAACTTGTAGAACGTTGGTCGATCATATTCAGGAAAATAAAAAAAACATTTGAATATACTATTTTTGCATATATTAATCAAATGTGAAGCTCAAAGGGCATTTCAGGTAGTGTTAAGGAAAAATTTGTGACTGGTGCTATTATAATGCCATAAATTATAATTACTTTCATGAGAAATGTCAAAATCCCCACCATTTAGATCTGGCTCAGGCTTTGGACTGTAGTGAAAACAATGCAGATCACTTAATATTATGTTGAAAAGCACATCATTCACCAGTATTGAATATTATGGGGATTGAGGTGTTTCACTGAAGTATTCCTCGATCGTCATGTACCCAGAATGTTGACTTTTTGTCATACTAATGGATGAGCAAAGGTGATGGAAATGGGACATGGCTATAGTTGTCATCTCATATATAAAACAAGGCATTAACATGACAAAATGTCACCACCTAGTTGAAGCAAGATAAAAAAGACCTTTTTGACCTTGGGGAGGTCACTAAAGGTCAAATCTATTTTGATCTTGAGAATGTCATTTAGGATCAAATCTATATTCAGATTTGAAATGTTGAGAACTTGTAGATGATTTTGAAAAAAAACTTTTTGACCTTTTGGTCATTGAGGTCAAATCTCAAATCTTAAGTCAGATTTGGACTTCCCATAACTTATAGATGATTTTGAAAAAAGGTTAATCTGAAGCAAGTTGAAAAAATACCTTTTTGACCTTGAAAAGGTCATTGAAGGTCAAATCTTAAATATAAAGTCAGATTTGAAATTCTGAAAACATGTAGATGATTTTGAAAACAATTGAAGTCAGTCTATTCAGTATTTGTTAAATTATTGGAAGTTGTAAGAATTTGTTACAGACCGCCGACAAAACAAAACAAAAAAATGGAGACCATAACAATATGTCACCACTTTTTGGTGGTAACATAAAAAAAATGTTAAAAACTCATATCCAGTATTTTGCAATAAATAATTCTGTTATGCTGATGGATGATCTGCTGCCAATATCTTTTAATAAATATTTCATAAAAATCACACATCCAAAATATATTTTGTTTCATTTACAAGGGAGGATGGGTGTAAACTAGAAAATAAAAAATAAATTATGCAAAGTTCAATTTTAGAGAAAGCCCCTAAGAAATGATGAAGTATAACTTCTGGTATTTTTTAAATAACAACTCAACACAAAATACTCCATTTTATAGTGGCACTTTATTTCATATAATTTACTTACATATTCAGACCAATTACTCTATCTGTACATGATACCATTAGTCAAATAATTAATTTCACATTTATATTGCAATCGTGCCATTCTACATCAAGTTCTATACAAACTTATACATGTGGAAAAATACTCAAATGTACAAAATATACACTTAATTTACACACTGTATATAATAGAGTATATGGATATATGATTTTGACAAATCACGTGCCACAGAATATGTGGGTTATATGTAATTATTTTACCTTGTTTTGCACTTTTAGTTGTTTTTTTCTTTGTAAGTACAACTACAACAATCCAAATTCTATTTTTGACATTAAGAAAATGCAAATAGCTCAAAAAACATCTTATTTTTAAAAGCCTCACAAAAGCCACCATCACTTTTTCCAATCTACATATTCAATCTTATTTTACTATTATGCTACAATTATATTATTCTTTGTTCATCATAACAGACATAGTCTCATTGGGTTTTCTTGGTTCATTACATTCCAATATGAAACATTCTTAATTCGTTCATAATACACATAAGTATTAAATAATATAAAGGTCCTTGGGACAAAATTTGAATTTGAAAAATCAAAACATTTTCTTGTTAATAAAGCATGCTTGGATGTAAGACATGTCGTCCTGAATTGATTTTAACGTTTAACATAAAATCATTATTTTATTTTCTGAAAATAGAGGGTGTTGCTTTAAAACTTATTACCAAATATACCACTCAAATTAGGGACCATGTCACCATATTTATGTTTACGAAACATTTTATTGGTTTGTTTTTAAATCCCTTCCTTTTGCTTGGCTCAACCATTAACTTTGAACCTAAAAGACTCTGGACTCAAAATCATAACCAAGTGTCACCAATTTGTAACTTTGAACTTATTGCAAATGGTTAAAAATAATGTGAAACAAGTTGTTACAGCCACCGAAGTTGACAGCCAATTGACTGCAAAAAACTCTGGCTACAAATGGTGACAAAAAATCAAATACATGACTGGTAGCTTGCATTATACAAAGACCATGACACAAACTTCCTGGAAATCAAGTGAGTAGCAGAATGAGTTCCATAATCTATAGGGGTACCTGCCTCATAGAGGTTGTATCGATTTTTGAGTATTTAAGGATCAGGGTAAGAGGTTTTACTTGACTGTTGACCAAACTATACAGGGTATCCATAAAGTCTCTACAATTACAATACAAAGTGTAAAGATACTTTATGGACCCCCTGTATAGTTTTAAAACATAAACACATTTCTCCTTATCAAACTAATTAGAATTAGGCTAAGTAAAGCACAATCATAACATCATAATAAAATCAAAGCAATCATGTTGATACATAATACAACTTCATGTTTAATAGCTTCTGGATTTACTCTGTACATGTTTGAGAATATATTCATATATTACACAGCTACAACAACTTAGTATGGTAAGTATATACAATTTGAGAATTAAAATGTACAAAACTATCATATATATACACACAAAGTGAAATGTAGTAATATCTGTTGTACTGAGAAACTGAGGCTAATATAATAGCATTATAATATAAACAGGCAACTCACTCTCTTGGTATTCCAATAAAACCTGTATATCCAAACACCTCTCTAATCCAAACACACCTTTAATGAGAACACTTTATCTCAGTCCTAATTTTGTTATCTCCCATTAACTCACATATTAAGAAAACCTTGAAATGTGAATACCTGCTAATCTGAACACTTTTGGCTTGTCCTAGCTAGTAGTGTTCAGATTTGGTGGGTTTTACTGTATACTACTATTACAAAGGATGAAAAAGAATGTTCATGATCTAGTATTCTAGAAACAAATGACAGAATTAAATACAAAATGGTAGGGAACCCATTTGGAAATATTAAGACAAGGGACCAGGTAAACATTTCAATGTCCAAAAATTTAAATACACTGTATTACATTTTGCACATGTTTTATCTAATGATTTCTTCACAATTAAAAATTTAATATCATTGTACACTAATAAAATAAATGGACATTTGAACGTTACCCCATAGGTAGGCATGCGGCAGGTAAAGTAAATGCATCACCAAAAACAGAAATAGTGTATGTTTTTCTGTTTTTTAATTTACTATATGAAATGAAGTCCAAATGCAATATATAATACCTCCTTTAGCCTCGCCTGTTAGTTTTGCCTCACCTATATCTAGATGCTGACTATACCACTGTTGAACCCTGTCCCTTATCCAAATATTGGATATATACCTGGACTTGAGAAATAACTACCCTTCTGAAATAGGCATCAAGGGTTTAAGAATTTTGAAATTCTATCTAGACTACCTGGCACTGTCATGTTGAAATGAATATATTTTTTTACCCTTGCAAATGTACATTGTAACCCAGTTGTTTAATATATACACTAAACTACTTAGAAGTTGGTGACTTGATAGAATATACATACTCATCTTGGCAATGTTTTACTTCATAAACTTTAACATTTATGCTCAAACTAGTTTTTAATTTTTGCAAATTTTTCATTAAAACATCAAAATGATATCAATTTGGGCATTAGGCTTATTGATGATATGTACATGTACATATTCATGTATCTCTGACTTTTTCTGAATATAAATGCAAGCAGCTGAGGCACTGCCCCTCACAGTAGCCTATAAAGGAGCATGATGAGAATAATGCTCATTAGTATATAAAAGTAATACCATTTAATTCAACAAAAATAACAGGCTAATGATGCAAATCAAGTGAAATATTCAAGCCGAAGTAGATTTTTTTCTGAGTGACACATGCTCTATTGGCTCAGTCAACATTTCTCCCTAATGCCAGGACTAATATTAAGCTAGACAGACATTTTTGAAAGGCATTTTTTCATATATGTTGCTGGTCATTTATTTATAATACACCTGACTATTAAATACAAACATCTCAGCAACTAAACTAGAACTTGAACAGAAATGATAAATAACATTTTTGGTTGACACTATATGACAAGAACCCCGAATGATAACTTACTATCTAGATTGAGACTATTAAAACAAAAAAGACAAATAACATTCTAGCTTGAGACTATTTTTGAAAATGTTCAGACTTTGTCGGTGTACTTGGATTTCAATATGAAATATGCAGCAAATCCTCGAGTCAATGATTTATATAAGAATATGTATTTGCATCAAAATTATGCACATTCTAACCAGTTCAAAACTAGACTAATTATCTGAAAATTGTGACATTCAAGTCCCTATTTGAAGTCCTATTTCAAATGTAATTAGAGAACATGTCATAATATCAATATTTATTTATGTTTACGTTTTACAAATATTTTTTACTAGATTTCTGTTTGATATCATTTTTTGTTACTCTGAGAACATAGATTCTGACCCCCAAAAAAATGGTGAAGTTTGGTGAACATTGCTATTTTGATATGAACGCTCAAGTGCCCTGACAGCGTATCCCTGCTAACAATATCTGTACACAAACCATATAGTTGAAACAATATCTGTACACAAACCATATAGTTGAAACAATATCTGTACACAAACCATATAGTTGAAACAATATCTGTACACAAACCATATAGTTGAAACAATATCTGTACACAAACCATATACTTGAAACGATATCTGTACACAAACCATACACAAAAATACAGTTGAAACAGAATCTGTACAAAACCATGGGCTGTATATGCATACTGAAACAATGTTATATTGCATGGTATGGAATTTGTCATCGATGGATTAAAATGCATCAGAAATTTGAGGATAAATCATGCTTTTAAAGCAATCACTATTGCATTGATTCTTTCCTTCATTAAATGCATCAAGAAGATACTGAGTGTGAACTCAAGTGTTTTTAACCAGTAACATTATAACATGACATTAGAGAGAGATGCAATATCAGTGTGCAGCATTTATCGTAATATCTGTAAAATGAAGCCTTCTGATTGGTCAGTTCTTGTGCTGTACCAATCTGTATTGCTACTGAGATTGTCCATATTGATCATCTCCGTAATACAGAATATGTTGGTACAGAGGGGACATTCCCAGTAGTAATATCTAAAAGCATAAAAACGTCATAAAATGATTTAAAGTGCAATACAAGATATATTCTGCTCTTGAATTCATCTCATTCAAATACAGAATTTCTTGAGCAGAATTTCTCCTGTATTGCACTTCAAATCATTCAATAACTTATAGTATAGTATTCTTGAATTATCTCCAACTGGTCCTGTTTTTCTTTAATTGTGAAGAGGAATAACCAAGGAAAACATATATGCACATACAGTAAAACCTATCTACTGGAACACCTCTCTGTAAGGATCACCACTGAGAAATATGTTAATGAACCTTTATGTAAGGAACACTTGTTTACAAGGAACAATCGACGTGAGTACAGAGTGTTGCATATACACAGGTTTTGATGTTAACTAACCATTAACAAAATGAGTAAAGAATTTAAATTGAAAAATGGGAAAATGGGAAAAATGGGAAAGGTTCGACCAGTGAACATTCACTGAAAAAAGTGAACATTCTTGTATTGGTTTTAATTAAAGCTAAGCAGTCTGGAGTATATCACTGGATTTTATCATGTGGTCTGGTATGTTTCAATAACATGACGGTCTTAACATGGATACTCATCGGCAGACTTTTATAAGAGCTGAAGAAAAGCATGACCAACTTGAAAGTAAGATAAATATTCATATGAATAACCTGATTTTGTTGCAATATTCTATTCAATTAAGCATCTCAAATCCATGTACTTTTCCTGGCTTATTTCATTCGTTTCCTTGCTATTTTGCATTACAAAGCATGACCACAATGACAGTCTTATACTTCTAGTTGCAAGTTGTATATATATACAGGAATAAACTTTTTGGCAAAAATAATCTCCCTCTCATATCCTAGCTGATGTGCAATTTCTCGGAGAATCACAGTCTGTGAAGAAATCTATCGATTAACCATGTTGCCATCTTTTAGATATTGTTTTTATTACTATAATTTCCTAATTCTATGCATATATAGTGCTATTTTAGATATGCTTTGTACAATAAGTTTGATTTCGCAGTTGGTGCTTCTTGTTCTAATAAAAATATGAGGTCCCTGAGGTTGACACGCTTCACTCGCTGTCTTGCCTGCAAAAAAACAAATAAATATAAATCTGCATTTGCATAAGCTCTTAGTTCTGACATTGAACCAATGAGAAAAGGTCACCACTACTTTGATTACTCAGTCGAAAATTTCCCAAAATTTGGTTCATCTATTATTGAGAAAATACTTGTCAAGATGAGTTCACTTCTTTGGGATATTGATATACTAGTATATTTCATGCAAAAATCAATATTTGTAGACATATTTATATTGAGATGTACATACAGATACACGAGGTGATGTTCCCATGTTGGATGAACTTCCTGATGCCCCTAGACCACTCTGAAACAAACAATCACAATTCAATACAGTCTTGTTATAAAACAAACTATTACATTTCAATACAGTCTTGTTATAAAACAAACAATCACATTTCAATACAGTCTTGTTATAAAACAAACAATCACATTTCAATACAGTCTTGTTATAAAACAAACAATCACATTTCAACAAATTTATTTAATGTTAAAGTCTAGTAGTCAAGAGTTCCCAAGGTTTTTGTTTATATAGCACATTTAGAATTTCGTTGTTGGTTTATTTTGTAACTCTCAGTGCAACATCTAAGAATTTTGAAGTTCTTAAGCGTACCTTTATTGGAGTTACATTGACATTGTACAATTACATTGTCTGGGTGTTAGGATTTAAGTGGAGATGATGCATCATCAAGATTTCAATGTGAAAAATCCCAGCCATCAAATTCATTTTCAACTTTATTTATGTCTAAATACAAGGCCTTGTGAGCCCCCTCCCCCAACTACACATCTCCCCATACATACTTGAGAACTGTCCAAATCAACTTTCTTTTTCTTCCGAGGTCCAATCGCAGCTAATGCTGTTAAATTAGCCTCTTTTTGACGTATGACCTCCATCTCCATGGCCTGCATCTCTTTGGCTCGTTGTTTCAGTTTCAGCTGCTCAGGATCTTCATGTTTTGACCGACTCTGAAAAAAAAAACAGAAAAGTACTCAAAAAATTTCTTTGTGGCATAATCTAGCTGTTACATCCCAAAGACCTAATATTCTAATTATGAAATGAATTTTTGGAGAAAATTAACCGTTTGAAAATCCCTAAAAAAGACTCTTATTTTGTACCTTTGGTAACATCAATCTAATTTACACCAATCAGGTTTTAAAACCTAATTACGTTAAAAGGCAAAAACTGGCAAAAAATGAAAAATGATCTGGTGGAAAATATTGCTTAAAGAAACACAAAAAGTTACACATTCTCACCTTTGCTGCGCGTAGTAAAGTTTCTCTCTCCAAATCCTCATGTCTTCGTTTCTCAACTTTGTCAAGTTCCTCCAAGAATTTTAACTGAGGCCTCACTTCTGTTGTCACCTCATACTTAGAGTCAGCCTGAAAATATAGGTTTACAATACTTATAATTTAGTACATTTTGGACAACTAATAGGACAGATTTGCCATTTTTTAGAATACTGATGGCTATCTTAGCCTGAAAAAATATAGGTTTACAATACTTATAATTTGGTACATTTTGGACAACTAGTAGGGCAGATTTGCCATTTTTAGAATACTGATGGCTATCTTAGCCTGAAAAAATATAGGTTTACAATATTTATAATTTGGTACATTTTGGACAACTAGTAGGGCAGATTTGCCATTTTTAGAATACTGATGGCTATCTTAGCCTGAAAAAATATAGGTTTACAATACTCATAATTTGGTACATTTTGGACAACTAGTAGGGCAGATTTGCCATTTTTAGAATACTGATGGCTATCTTAGCCTGAAAAAAATATAGGTTTACAATACTTATAATTTGGTACATTTTGAACAAATTAATAGCCCAGATTTGATTTTGATAGAAAATATATCAATGTCACCTGTCACCAATCTTTCTTGACTTCCAAAAAGCGTTTGATAGTATAGAGTGGAATTTTATGTATGAAACGTTGAAAAAATTTAAATTCAGTGATAAGATTATAAAATGGCTCAAACTTTTATACGAAAAACCTTTCTTAAACATTAAGCAAAATGGATGGTTATCAAAAAATATTGATGTTGAACGCTCATGTCGGCAGGGCTGCCCCGTTTCCGCAATGGCATTTATTTTATGTTGCGAAGTTATGAACTTAGCAATTCAGCAAAATAATGATATATCAGGTATAACTGTTGATGGTAAAGAATATAAGATGTCCCAATATGCAGACGATACTTCACTTTTCATTAAAGATAAAGAGTCATTGAAAAATGCTCTTAATACTATTTCCAATTTCTCAAAATTTTCTGGTCTGAAGTTAAACATAGAAAAAACTGAAGGCATTTGGCTTGGAAAAAATAAGGACTTTGAAAAGAAATGTGAAAATATAACTTTTACTGATGAACCAATCAAATATTTAGGAATCTTTTTAGGACACAGCAAACAAAGATGTTATGAATTAAACTGGGAAGATAGAGTAAAAAAGGTAGAAAAAATATTAGACAGCTGGAAGAACCGATACTTAACACTTTTTGGCAAAGTTACAGTGATTAAATCACTGGCAATTCCAAAATTAATTTATGCAGCATCAGTATTATCTGTGCCACATGAGATTATAAAAAAAGTAAACAATCTTGTATTTAAATTTCTATGGGATGGAAAAAAGGACAAAATAAGAAGATCTATAATCATAAATAATATTAATAAGGGTGGAATAAATATGATTGACTTAGAGTCTCAAATACATGCACTTAAAGCAGCATGGATCCCCCGTTTGCATAATCAAAACATGTACAATAAAATCCATTACTTCTATTTCAATAAATTTCTTCCAAATATAGATGTATTATTCAAGATAAATGATACTAGATTCAAAGAATTTGAAAATGTTCCACTTTTTTATCAACAAGTGCTGGAAGCACATTGTTTATGTAAATGCATCAAAAATATAAGAGATATGAAGCAACATGAACTCTTGCAAGAGGTTATATGGGGAAACAAATTATTCACCGTCAAAAATAAACCAATTTTCTTTGAATCATGGATCAAAAGTGGAATTATATACATAAAAGACTTGATAATTCAGAACAGGTTCCTTGATGTTAATATGTTATATCAAAAACTTGTAAATAAACAAAATTGGATATCTGAATATTACAGAGTTTTATCAGCCATGGGCACACTGAAAGAAAGGTTCAATTTAGAATCTGTCAAGTATACAAATATTCATAATACTTTTAAATTTAATATAAATAATGTGATTATCACTGTGAATAATCAGAAATCCAAATTCTTTTATGAAATATTAAAAAACAAACGATCAGAAAAATGGTTTATGAAAAGGAAATGGGAACAAGAGTTTTGCTATGAAGCCAATGATGAAATAAATTGGCAAAACTTTTTCTCTACAAAAATAAGTTGTAAAGAAAAGAAAATAGGTAATTTCAACTTTAAAATAATCAACAATATTCTTCCTAGCCTTAGTGATTTATATATATTTGGTAAAAGTGAAACCTACAAATGTAGTTTATGTAATGAATTATGTACCTTGAAACATTTGTTATTTTCATGCTCATATTCTCAAAACATTTGGAAACATATTTATAATATCTCAGGGTTAAGAGTAACTTACAGAAAATTGATAATTGGTTACGATGGAAATGACAGTCATACTGAATTTTTAAACTATTTTATAAGTATTGTGTCATTTGTTATATATAAAACATATATTCAAGAACTGAATAATGGTATTAAGCGTAATTTTGAAGGCACTATTAAAACTTTAAATTTTGAAATCTGTACTCGTAAAAATGTATTTTTTAAAAACAAATGGAAAATGATTAAAACATAACTCATTATACATTATTGTAATTAATTGTATCATTGTATTTCTGTATCGTAAAAACCTAAATTGGAATAAACTTTATTTGAAAAAAAAAAAAAAATCAATGTCACCTGAGTGATCTGATTTCCTAAAAAACATCTATAGTAAAGTAATTTATTACTCTTATGCGTAAATGAATGAATACTTCAGGTAGAAATTCCTAGTGAGATTGCACTACACTTAATCAATAAAAGAGTTCTTTACCAGAAGTACAATGACCTCAATAATAGTACCAATCCCAATAAAAACCCATCTCCACAATAACTCTGTAATACAATAGAAAATACATTGATTTTTTATACCTTCATAGTACTGTGCTGAAAAAACGCCTCCATTATAGCTCTATGGTAGAATGCAAATCAATTCAACAGAATACAGTTATACAGAAAGAATCTGGACTAAAATGCATTCAATATTCAATGCCAAGACTTAAAGAGGCTGACACAAACTATGACATTACAGGAGATATATATTATTCTCATATAGAAGTACTATAAGTCATAATCAGGCAAGACAAGATGAAGTTGACAACACCATGAAATACACCATCATGAAGATTAAAATATAATATTTCTAAATCTGGGGTAAGAACTTTTGATTCACAATATATTAAATAATATATCATAGAATAAATTGATAACTTGTAGAGATGTAAAATGTCATACAGACAGATTTGGGCTGTAACATTGTGAGCTTCAAATTCTTCATACTGGCTCTCAAGTTTGATTTTCAAAACTTAATACCTTGGTAATCCAAGATGCACATTCTAATTGAAACTAAAAACACAACATGTGTGACCATATTAGATACATCTTTGAGTCAGGTACATTTTTAAGCTGTAATTACAGATAGATCCAAATTACATATTTTAATTTATGCCTCGGTCACATTTGATCAGCGGCAACCGTACGGCAGCCGCAGCTTCCCAAATTCGAGAGAAATGTGCAGCAGTAAATACAGGCATAAGCAATACAATGTAGACTTTCTATATCAATCGCAAATGTGACTGAGAGGCTATAGCAAAGTTATGTTGAAGTAAAGGTATTATTTTAGGTGGCAGCTACAAAAGTTGAAAGTACAATGTCCAGATCTACAAGACAAGGCCCTCCAAAACAGCTGGCAAAGTGAGTATCTAATGATGCACATGTACATCAATGCACACCACAGGTCTTATTTAATCCCAAATTTCTTAAGAGGGTTGGGGGGAAATGCTCTCAGCCTAGGCCTTCCACAATTCAATGCATTGTACCAATTATTCACATAAATTCAAAATGGAAGTAAAAAAGACACAAAGTAATAATGTTAAACCTATTTTATCAAAAAATTCAAAATGGCCATAAAGTCATTTCCTTGCATACCCAAAACTTAATCAGATCTTAGTACTAATCTGCTCTTGCACTTGTAAAAGGTAAGTAGTTTTCTTGGAATCTTGATGATAATATATATTATCCTTTTAAAAAAGGTGATGAATTGTTTCAAGACTTTTAAATGAACGATATTGGTTCAGAACTTTAGAGTTTTCAAATCAAAAAATGTCTGAATAGAAAAGGGATATTTTGAGTTTTATTGATTTTGGATCAATCAATACTTACAGTAACATATTAACACGTGTTATTTTAATATTTCAGGATTCAACCTAAAAAATCAGGTTCTGGATCAACAAGTCAAGCTGTATCTGGTAAACAGAAAGGTAAATTCAATGTCATCTCATTTCTTCCTTTAAGATGTTTCTCATTTTCAGCAGTATTCCCAAGTCTTCATATCTGACAGTCATAGACTTTTGTTTCTGCACCAAACTGGTAATAATACTTTTATGAGAACAATGTCATCTCAGTTTAGCAGTCCTATTCCCAAGTCTTGCTGTACCAAACAGGTAATACTACTTATTAACAATCTTAATTATGTTTGTCCTTTTATTTGTTGCTATCTACAAATGCAATGACCTTGACCTTGTCCCATAATCCCATTGCAGCGGTCTTGCCTGGTATCAAGAGCGAGGAAGAAAAGTTCCATGTTTTGATAGAGGGGTGTAAGGGTGGCCTTACTAATATACCACCCAGGAGGTCAACAGTTGTGAGAATATTCCTCAGTTCTACATTCTCAGGTATTGTGAACATGTTATTCCCATATTACTGTGATATTCAGAGCGTCAAAATTAAAATGGTTCTTTAGCAGTCGTCAGGAAAAGTGTCACATTTTTGGCTTTTCACTGAATTACGTGTATTGCAATAGCTGTTGCTTGATATATACTTCAATTTATTAACAGCAACTCTGGAAGGCACAACTAGCTTCCTGGCTTGCAGTATAGAGATTCAAATGGTTGCTACACCATTCAATTGTGAGACAAAAAAGTATATTAAGAACATAATTCGTTGAATTAATTATCATACCCCTGGACTAAACCACAACCAAAGCAAATGATTTAACGACAGTAGTAGAATATCTATCATTATGGTAGGCTAAAATAATATAACTAATTGATAAATAGCACTGCTTGTCTCTTCCGACAGACATGAGAGCAGAGAGGAATACTCTAGCCAAGGTCACCTTCCCAAAACTGAAAGAACATTGCAGCGATCTTGGATTGGATTTCCAGGTACACGTTTGCCTCCATACGTTAAACTATCTATATTTTTCAACGTTTACTTTAATCCATCAAAATACAAACGCAAATGTAGCATAACAAATCCTGAAATTGAACTTTATCAAATAATCACCAATGCCAAAGGTAAAAAATTTTGACGTTCATAGCATCTCACTGTGCATCGCAGATGTTGTCCAGAAGGACAGAGATGAAGGTGTGGCTTACCACAATGAAAAGTTACATCAAGACACATCAAATTTTACATATAAAAGAGGGTAAAGTATTGTTGTTTATCTGCAGGTTGTGGACATGAGATGGGGTGTAACAGATGACGCCACTAATGACCATGGCACAGAAGACCTTTGCTTACAGGAGATAGAAAACTGCCAGAGACTATCATTAGGACCCAACTTTATTGTAAATCTTTTATCATCAAGATTGTTATTTCAATTCAAATTCTATATACATGTACCAATTTTGTAATTGGGAATCTATCTGTACATATGTATATTGCACTTATTTCAAATTAACTGACAGCACAAAATATACTTAAGTTTTTAATCTTTTGTTTCATTGGTTTGACAGAGTTTACTTGGTGATCGCTATGGCTACAGGCCTATTCCAGTACGTCTGTCAGTGGAAAGTTATGAGGGAATATTACAAGAGGCCATTGCAATGAATCTACCTGATATAGAAACTATGAAGAGATGGTACCAGAGAGACGACAATGTAGTACCACCCATATATACACTCCAGGTAAATAATTAATTTGGTTTAAATCATTCTGAAAAATATTCTTTATGGAACTTAAACTATTCATAAAAAGACAAAGATTGATTATGTACAGGGTGAACCAAAATACGCTACCCTGTAATTCGGAATAACTTTCTCAAATATGATAGAATCTTTTTGATTTTTTGTGTATGAAAGTTATTCCAAAACTAGAGGGTAAGATTGTTTTAGTCACCCTGTAAATGGAATACCATAGAAACAGTGAATGAAATTCTGATTTCAGCCAATCAGGACACATCTGAAACACTTTGGTGATTATTCTAATGAAGCTAAACGTAAATCTGAAACTGCAGAATGGTGGAAGATTTTTGACTCAATCCAGAACATAGTTAGGAAAAGTATACTCAACATTGCCAAACGAAGAGGAGACATGAATTCAACTAATGACAGTGATGATACTCACAGATTCTTCTGTTCAGGTCAGGATATATCATGGTTTAAAGGGGCAATAAGGCTTGTAGAGAGAAAATAGGAAAATTTTAACTTTTTCTGAGCAATCAAGGCAACAGTTGGCTTAACATCTTCTTCGACATACCTATTTTCTTAAAATATATGGATAAACTATCAATTTCGGCATTAAAAAGTGTAAATTCAGTTCAAAGCTTCAAAAAGGGGACGTCCACTTTTATATTTTTAAGATCCACCATGTTTAAAGAGGAAAATAAGCTGAAATAATGATTATCTAGGGGGTTTCTTTGTAGAAAATAAAAATAGATGTTAGTCTTGATGAAATATCCAAACTTAAATATATTTTGACACTGGTCCATGATCGTTGAATGGCCCCTCTGCACTAATTATTGCACCTTTAATTAGAATTATATTTGGCCTTTGCTAGAACTGAGTTATCTGCTGTGAAGTCTGCTGTGAAGTCTATTAGTATGGATGGTCAAAGAAAGATTAAAAAACTGACCACACCAGTACTTCTAAGATATCATTTGACAACATCATGTAGCAAACCAGACTTGTTGTTCTTTCAGTAACTGAAATGGAGGTGATAAAAGGCATACTTGGGCTAAAGAATCCTAAAAGTCACACACTTTGCTATGTAAGAACACTGGTAAACTGGACTGATGAGGATCTTAATGACAAACAAATGCAACGTGCCATGGACTGTGTCAATGTTAATGGAAAGGTGAGTCCAACATCTTGATCAATTAACAACATTGGCAAAACAAGAGAAAAAAGCCAAGATCCTACAAACAAATAAACCCACACAACAAATCAACCAAACAATACTATAATATTTTTAAAAATTCAGTTTGCTATAGAATCAGTAATATCCATAGCCCATACCTAATGTAATGCCCCCATCGCTATCAATTGGACATCACACAGTAAAAATAATACAGATACAATCTGTGTACTTATGTCATATAAGTCTGAATTACTTGATATGTTAGGGTATTCTTAAATGTTGCCCTCTGCCAGTTCAAAATTCGCTAAAATTAACTTTCATTCATTCTATGTACCATTTGTTCCATTCCCATGGAATGACTATTATTCATGTTTTGCTCATGTTCTCTTGCCCTATTTAACTACAATATACACTGGACTACATTTGTAGTGGACTGTTGATAAAGAGGCAGCTGGTCACAGAGACAAAGTGTCAAAGGAAAAGTTACCTGCTCTTCTCGGAACATCCAATTACAGACAGTATAATCTCAGTTGGAAAGAAGGTATCACTTCTTTTTAGTATTCTAATATGTTTCTTTTTCAGGAATGTAAGTTATTAAAAAATGTACAATTATCGAAAAGGATAGCAAATAAAAATATTGAAATGCAATGCATGTCTTTGATATTTTCTTTGTCATTTAGTATGCTTTCTGATGAACAGACTTCTCTATTTAAGGTGGAGTTAACCCTGACCAACACCCAGAACATTCAAAATACATTGATGAGTTTTGCTCTTCATTCTACACTGATGTGACCAAATTGATCTGCAATGCCAGGTAAATAACCTAACACTCCTTAAATATTCCTCCATTTGATAATCAACTATTCCATCAATCAGTTTGGACCAGTCCATTAATGAATCAGACTACAATATAGGGATGCAACCTTTATTTTTTGCAGAGAGAAAATTGAGCAGCAGAAACGCTCTACAAATTACAACACTGACTATGATGAGATTGTTCACCATCTCAACTTTGTCAATGAGAAGACAGAGATGTTTTGTGGACAAAAGGATTTCCTTGACAAAGTGAAAGATTTCTTGGATAAATCATCCAACAGAGTACCATTGGTGATATACGCCGAGTCTGGTAAAGAAAATCACCCATTTTAGATTCCTATCAGTATATATTATAGTATCTTGGCTAATGGACATTTTTAGTATGTAGATTATAGTGAAATTGTCATTTCTTAATTTTTTGATGAATTCAATCATGTGTTTGTATTATAGGTGTCGGGAAAACATCAGTGATGGCACAGATATGCAAAGACCTTCAAAAGTGGTTCAAAAAGGAGCAATGTGTTCGTATAATCAAGTTTCTCGGAACATCTGCCAAAAGTAACAATCTCTTTGATGTATTATTGGGAGTATGTCAACAACTAGCTGATACATATGACATCATAATGGAGCCAACAGGGTCAGATAATATGAAAAATCTACTGGCTTACTTCCCACGGTTGTTGCGAAATGCATCAAGGATGTCCAAAGATCGCATAGTGATTATGCTGGACTCTATCGATCAATTGTCAATGGTTGATGGACCATTTGATATGAAGTGGCTACCTGTACAACTCCCTGGTTAGTTATACTAAAAATAATTCTTCTCTTGCGAATTTAACAACAATGAAGTTGGCTCTATCAAGCTTCATTGGCTTAGGTGTGAAACATCAAAGCCAAGCTGATTCAAATCACAGACTAACTCATCCATTATGTGCCTTTTTATGGGCCCAATACTATTCCTCAAACTAGCTTCGATGTTAAATCCATCTACCAAAGATGAAAATTACCTTGAATCCTCTAAGGTCAATCCCGATTTTTACCTTATAGATTTTTTACTTAAAAATATCATTTCAATATTATTGCCATTAATGTTTTATCATTGCAGCTAATGTGAACATTATAATCTCAACACTTCCTAAAGAACATGGCATCCTCAACAACCTAAGGAAACAATTGAAAGATACAGAAACTGAATGTTTTCTTAATCTTGAACCAATCCCCATGACAACGGGTGAAGAAATCATGGCAACCTACTACAAGAAGAAATCTCGTACTGTGACTCCTGAACAAAAGAAGCTTCTGCTTGAAATGTTCAGTAAACAACCAAGTCCTCTATTTCTGAAGCTATTACTGGATGAGTCACTGAAGTGGACATCTTACATGGGTGTGGCATCAATACAGGTGGTATCAACAATCAGGCAGGCAATAGATAGGTAGGGAATACAATAGGGTACATCATGAGGATTTTAAACTTAAAGAACAAAAAGGAATAGATTATAGATCGACCAGTTGTAATGGGCTGGCATTTATGTCAAGCACAATTTAAAATAATGACCAAAGTTCAAATGACCAAAATCATTTACACATATAGGTAAATACTCAAGAACTATATGCTGTACATATAGAAGTATCATCATTGCATTCTATTTGAAGGTTGTTCCTTAAGATTGAAACAAAGTTTGGACATGTACTAGTATCCAGAGCGCTGGGTTATATCACATTGGGGTGGAATGGGTTATCTGAGATAGAACTGGAGGATGCCTTGTCCTGTTCTGATGAGGTAACTTACACAGTAAATTCTTACATTAACATCAACAAGTGAAAGTTTGGTTCCTAGTTATGGATGGTGTCAGATTACCAACAGCAATGGAATAGGGAGAGGGGGTAAATGATGGTTTCATAAATAAAACGTGATGATCTTTTTTCATGTTCAAGTGGAAGACAAATCAACATTTTAAAATTTTGTTAGATGAGGGGAGGGGGATCAGACCATTATGAAATTAACTTTGTTGATAATTCGACAACATCCCTTAAACTCTGATTAAAATGTCCTTTCATATTTTCACTGCCCTGGTTATCGAAGGATCTCACATGACATTGTCTTCTCCAGGTGTTGAACTCAGTCTACCAGTACCACAACCCTCCAGTCGAAGGTAGCGTGAGGATACCATCCCTCCTATGGGCCAGAATCAAACATGACATCAGTGAATACTTAACAGAACGACAATCATTTGGTAAGTTCTTATATTCTCCCTCCTGTGGGCCAAATTTGATAAGTTCTTATATTGTAGCTGTCCTCCTTAGCTATCTTAATAACTGGCTGCTCTCCTTATGTATACTATAATACATTGAATTTGGAGTCTAATGGCAGTACTTTATATATACATTTATAGTTATTGAGCTTAATAGCAAACACATGCTTGTTATATTGCTTGGCATTAATAACTCATTTGATTTGCATGAATGATTGCAATAGTTCCAATTCTTTCTCTAGGTCTCATAAGCCGTTTGACAAGATATAGTCACATCCCTAAGAATACACCATATATCCTGAACATCCTAGTAAATAACACTTATATGTTCCAGGAAAGAATACAGTCTTTTGGTACCACAGGCAATTCATAGAAGCTGCCATGGATAGATACACACAAGGTAATACATTACAACTATTTCTATTCCTAAATCATAGGTATTGTTCCTCACTCTGAATGGTCTATCACGTCATGTGACTAGAATACAAACCCCATTTCATAAATAGAGTATTCAATCAAAAGAATCATTCTTTTCCATAAACATACTGTCTTTAATTTACAAATAGAATATCCCCTATAAAAGTTTACACAATAGGGATTAAGTACAAATATATTTTTTCACCTTAATTAAATACACAGTGAGCTAAAAAACATGCTTGATGACTGATTATTAGAATTTATTTGGGTCACCTTTTTTGGTTCACCCTGTATATAATGTACAACTGTATATCCAAACAGGCGCTGCTTCACAAATGCTCCATAAAGAACTTGGTGTGATTTACAAACATGAAAATGGCCTCCGTAAAACCATTACACTCTCAAAACGTGGACTGACTATCCAGGATGCCAACCGGCAACTTACTAGCCAACCACTAAATGTCAGTAATAAGAGAAAGCTACAGGCGTTGACATATCACCTGATCAGGGCTGGCGATGTATCAGAACTGAAGAAATATGCTCTCTTTAATTTGAAGTATCTAATGATGAAAATCTCAGCGTTTACATTGAGTGATGTAATGAAAGATTTTGAAGATGCATCAGATAAAACCATCACTGGAAGAGATGAGGATATTGAAATTCGATTGGTGCATAACTGTCTTAAAAAGGCTGAGAAATACCTAAAAAATCCAAACAATTTGCCAATCCAACTTCTTGCCAGATTAACACCAAGTGATGGTAGTGGAATATCATCATTATTAGAGCAATGTCGAGCTCATTGTACCACTGGTCCCACCATCTTCCTATCTCCTTTATATCCATATCTCCGAGATGGTGACATGTCAAATTGCCCCAAAACACCACTAGGAAATGTTCAAAATATCAGTGCCATGATCCTCATGGAAAATGGACAACTGATGACTGCAAACACAAATCAGGAGATACAAAAGTGGAACCTGAACTCTGGAACACTTCAAGAGAAAACAAATGTAGCTCATAATGTAACAGAATTTCAACTTGCCAAAAAAGAAACATTTTTAATTCTACTTGACGAAAATCAATCAGGAATTTGTTTGGATACAAAGACACTGAAGAAGCAATTTGAACTACCTGGAAATATTTCCTGTTGCATTCAGACGCCTCAAATAAATCATACATACTTCAACAGTTCAGAACATGGTAGGAAATATCTGTTGAAAGATAAAGAATATAGGGTCTATGTTATAACTAGAGAGGGCAGTACAGTTGGAATACATATATGCGACTTTGAGGCAAAATCTTCTAAGCTCCTCTACAACATTGGTAAAGGCCTACCGAAAGGTGAAATTAAAGCAATCGTGACTGATGATGAAAACTTTATTGTACTCTCAACAGCTTTAACTCCAGATGAAATCAAAGGGATTCAAAAACAAGCAAAGGGCAAAGCACAGCATAGTGGGGACAGGATTCTACATGCTATCCAATTAACGAAAAGCAAAGTTGAACTGATACCCTGCAATTTAGCAGGAACGAAGATCCCAGTTCTCACAACAGCTTGTGCACCATTTATGCTCAGTGAAGTGATGGTTGCAGCAAATGATGAAGTGATCATGTGGAACATTGAACGGGGATACACAGGGGTATCATCGTTCAAACAACCAAAGAAGATTGAAAAAAAGCTGAAGAAGGCATGGTCACCAACATGTATGTTAAAGAGCAGAGATGAGGATGTACTTGTCATGTCTACCAAGGAGGGCTATGTGGCTGCCTACAGTTGTATAGTAAGTTATTTCTTACTTGTCATGCCTACCAAGGAGGGCTATGTGGCTGCATACAGTTGTATAGTAAGTTATTTCTTACTCGAAGTGGACAAAGTATAGCCAATTTTGGGATCCTTTGCACATGCTAAATTGACCAATCAGAGCAAATGTCCTCATATTTACAACAGGCTACTTATATGGCCAAAGTTTGCCTTTGTTCTAAAGTTCAGTTTTCTACATGTGTCTTCATCTAGGTCTTTTCATCTTTCATCTTTCAAAGGACGATTCTCGGTTTGGAGAACGAAGTTCATCAATCTCAATGAGCATTATCCCTACTTCGAACAAATTTGATTTTTTTACATAATATTGATTTGAATGTCTTCTTTTGAATAGTCATTATTTAATTTGGGTAATATTTCTAGATTTTTCTCAAAAAAAATATTAGCGCAGTACACTGATGAACTTCTTTCCCCAAATCGAGACTTGTATTTTATTGAATTGGTCTAATTGAGCGTTATCCCTGCTTCAGACCAATTTGTTATTTTTACATCTTGTAGATGTCCTCTTTTGAATATTCATAGTTTAATTTGGGTAATATTTCTATATTTTTCATGAAAAAATTATTAGCCCAGGAGACTGTTCTCCAAACCGAGAATCGTCCTTTGATATTTAATTTTAAAATGGTACGCTTGATATCTTTTGGATAATTCCATTACTTTATATAGAGAAATAGTGTGAATCCAACTTTCAATACTTAGTACAAAGTTAGTGTTCAAAGATGTTCAAATATCATTTTAACAAATCTTACATCTACATTTTCAATTTTAGGTGCCATGGTAGTTAACAGGAAGACTGAACAGGAAGTGACAAAACCATGCTGGATTTCAAACATTTTTTGAACCAAGATATCAGAGTTCTGTTTTGAGCTCCAGTCAGTTTAACTATTTCCATATATCATTTACATGACCAGGATCACAATGTCCATGGTCAGAATGACATTAAACATGTTTTCTGCGTAGGTGAATTCAAAGGCGTTCTACAAGGGGCGATCCATATATTCTGATAAAAATGCTCTCATTTTGTGATTTTTTCACATATCCCTTTCATTTTTCCAGAACATGTAGATTATGTAATTACACATACGATGCTAAAATATTTTAGCTATATCTTAAATTAATTTTGAAATAAGGTTGCCATGGTAACCTGTATTTAGGGTAGGCAGGTCGGTTAAATTATAACGTCAAAAATAGATAAATATGTTAATTTAATCATTCCTCGGTACCTATTTTAAGCAGACCAAACGCATCTTCCAGTCATTGCCAACTATTCATTGATCTGTTCCATACCTCTGTTGCCCTTATTTGATAATTTATGCAGTGGGATAGCTATCTTTTCATTAGTAACATCTCAATTTATCGTAGTATTATTCTCTGTCCGCAAGCTCTTCTTGCAACCAGATTGTGGATGATCTTCAATAGTGACCATGCCTTCCTCTTTACAAAACTACCCATAGATTCTTTATGCAGATATAACACCTTGCCTATGCACTTAATAAGTCCATGAATGTCTCTGACAGTGTCCTCTAACTTATTCTTAAAATAAAATAAAATCTAATTGTATTCCCTAATGTATCCGTTAATGTCACACTCTGCATCAGCCACATTAACCTCATCTGACAATTTTATTTTTGGTATGTCTCATAACATGTAATGTCAATTGGCCCATTCTGTCCTACAATGCTATTGTGATTTGTTGTGATGTTATAGTGAGCACATATAAACATTTGTTTAGCAGCAAACAAAGAGTAACAATACCAAACTCTTTTAGAAAAATGCATGATTTCCGCATGCTTTAAAATAATTAAAATATCAAGTTATTATGATATTTATATGTTATAATTTAATTGACCTGCCTACCCTTAATGCAGGTTACCATGGCAACCTTATCTCATTGATAATTTAAGATATAGCTATAATATTTAGCATTGTATGTGTAATTACATAATCTACATTTTCTGAAAAAATAAGAGGGATATGTGATAAAATCACAAAAAGAGAGAGCATTTTTATCAGAATATATGGATCGCCCCTTGTATATGTCCGATATACCATTGAGAGTGTTTCACAATGTAAAATGTAAATGGATACATATTTTTTGTGCAGGTGAATTCAAAGGTGTTCTATATGCCCTACAAGGACAACGGGGCTGTTAACTACGCTTCCTACACCAATGAAGACCCTGCGAATAAAGACCAGGGTACTGGCGACATCATGCATCCTGATAAATCATACGTCTATCACAGTGCCAAGGTAAAGGATCAAATATGAAACCAATGACCACAGTATTCAAATTGAAAAATAATAGATTGGTTCCCATAAAAAGCTGGATAATTTAGACTTATTATTCTTTATCAAATGGAGATTTGAGAGAAAATGAGGGAGGTTTTTAAGTTTTAAGGAGGTTTTTTATACAAGTAGCCATCTATTTACTGCATTGATCACTGAGATTATGTGATTTTTGTGATTGATTAATTTTTATGAAATTTTTCATATTATAATAATCTTCTCTTTTCACTGATGCATACCAAGCATATTAGCATATTATTCTATATTTTTATCTATATTGATTTCTAAAGTATGATTGATGTCGGGTAAGGAGAGAGGAAAGGGAGGATATTGCATAGACAATCACTAGTGTTTATGTTATTTTTTGTACTTCCAGCTAACATGTGTTGCGATAGCCAATAAGAGTCACATGATGGCTTCAGCTTCAATAGATGGCGCTCTTAAACTCTGGCCACCAAAAGATGGCACAAGATGCTGCATTTTTACCGTTCCAGGACATGTAACCCACATGCAGTTTTCTCGTGATGACAAACATCTTGTTACTATCTGCAAGACCCCTGAAGGCTCAAGTATACACATTTTTGTACCACATTGTGAGGAGAAGCCAAAGTACCAATGTTCAGATTGCCGAAAAAATCTTTGTATCGAGAAACTTACACCACTTTTTAATGAATTTAAAGCAGCTGGAAAGACTGTATCCTGGAGCTATGACCGTTTATGCATCGATAATGGAACATTCTCTCATAAAACATACTATAAATATAACATAAAGACAGACACTGTTTGTGAGGATAAATGGTAAATATGAAACCTTTCATACTGTTACAAGATGTCAACATGGCAAAATGACATCACCTGGTTACAACTACAAAAGTGTAACAATTGTTAAAAAGATGCCAAATGTTAATGCTCATCCCTTAAAACAGTCATTATAAAAATACGTCACCACTTGATGGTTATGACAATATGTCACCACTTCATGGTGTTATAACAATATGTCACAACATCATGATTGTGACATGAGACACAAATTGGGCTTTTTACTTCTGCAGAAGTATATAACTTCTTTTGTGTAAAAATTCATTAAAAACAGTGATTATAAAAAATATGTCACCACTTCATGGTGTTATAACAATATGTCACCACTTCATGGTGTTTATAACAATATGTCACAATTTCATGGTTGTGACATGAAGCACAAATTGGGATTTTTTACTTCTGCAGAAGTACATAACTTCTTTTGTGTAAAATTCACTAGAAACAGTGAATATAAAAAAATATGCCACCACTTCATGGTGTTATAACAATATGTCACCACTTCATGGTGTTAAAACGATATGTCAGAACTTCATGGTTCTGACATGAAACACAAATTGGGATTTTTTACTTCTGCAGAAGTACATAACTTCTTTTGTGTAAAATTCACTAAAAACAGTGAATATAAAAAATATGTCACCACTTCATGGTGTTATAACGATATGTCACCACTTCATGGTGTTTATAACGATATGTCACAATTTCATGGTTGTGACATGAAGCACAAATTGGGATTTTTTTACTTCTGCAGAAGAAGATAACTACTTTTGTGTAAAATTTGCATTTTTAACCAACACCTAAAACAATAGGATTGTAAATGACTTACTTTAAAAATTTCTAATCTATGTTCTGCTACAGTTGATAATTTTTCAACGATGCTTCGTAATCGCTCCTGGGTTGCATGGGACACTAAATTAGCGACATCTGGGGATATGTCATCCAAGCCGTGCCGTCGTGCTGAAAAAATTTCAATGGTTACACGTCATATAACTACAATAGATTATGATTTTCCAAAAGGCCAACCAAAAATATTCTACAATCTAAATACTATAAACTATAAAATTCATACTACCACTCTATAATAGAATGAAAACAACTGCAATTTCTGTGGAAAAATTTAAATAAAACCATATGATACATACCTATTGCATTGATTTTATTTACAAGAGGCTGGCTTATTAGGAACTGCTCATCTTTACAAGAACGTATATGGGTCCCAACTAGGTCAGAATTTGTTGCTAAAATGTTGCGACTCTCCTCAGACAGATTGACTCCTCCCATAGTTGCTACATCGTTGATATCGTCATCTTCTCTGCAATAATCAAAATATATTTATATTTAAATTGTGTTGAATCACGGGGTACCATCGAATAATTTTGGCAACGTACCGGAGAACGACATTTTACTAAGAAATGGCAATAATTTAGCACAATATATTTTTTAACTAGAGTTCTACTTTGATTTTGACAAAAGTAAGTATTCCACGCAATGGCTATTTCATTCATGAGTTTGTAGGAATTCTGTTGGAACCCAGTTCTGATCAAGTACGAAGTTATTGAAATCGGCGCAGTCGGACTTTACTCCGAAAGATGGTTTTTCGATTATAACTTTTTACAACATTTAAGTATAGACTTTTGAAAAAAGTACAGAATAGTCCTTATACTATTGAATAATTCTATTATTTCTGATTCACACGACTCTGATTTGTTTAATTAAAAAAAAGATTTAAAAATATTACTTAGGAACGTAACCGGAGCTGGGAACGTAACCGGAGCAGATCAGTTGAATTATATCATTTAAAAAAATAAAATATATGATTTAAAGCATATATATTATTTACAAACACATATGAATGTTAAAATGAGCATTTATTACCATTCACTTACAGGAAAATCAATGCATGGCAATTAGTATAAATTAGAAATTAATTAGAAATTAGTATAACAGAGTGGGTTCTAATAGTTCGCTGAACAAATACAATGGGTGAAATCAAATGGAATTATTTGCTTACTATATTTAATCACTTCATTCTCCATACAATGATTGTTCTATGTTTGATAGCCTTTCTAAGGTAAGTGCACTTATGCATGGTAATTACCAAATTTAATTTTTCACAATGGATAAATTTTTTTCTTTAAATAAAATGTAATAAATACGCATTCGAACAATCCCGTATGTTTTTAAATTAGTATATGTGCTTTAAATCATATATTTTAATTTTTTTGATTAAATAATTCAACTGATCTGCTCCGGTTACGTTCCCAGCTCCGGTTACGTTCCTAAGTAATATTTTTAAAACTTTTTTTTAATTAAACAAATCAGAGTCGTGTGAATCAGAAATAACAGAATTATTCAATAGTATAAGGACTATTCTGTACTTTTTTCAAAAGTCTATACTTAAATGTTGTAAAAAGTTATAATCGAAAAACCATCTTTCGGAGTAAAGAACGTCCGCGCCGATTTCAATAACTTCGTACTTGATCAGAACTGGGTTCCAACAGAATTCCTACAAACTCATGAATGAAATAGTTATTGCATGGAATACTTCCTTTTGTCAAAATCAAAATAGAACTCTAGTTAAAAATATATATTGTGCTAAAGTATTGCCATTTCTTAGTAAAATGTCGTTCTCCGGTACGTTGCCAAAATTATTCGATGGTACCCCGTGTGAATAACTGTTCATAATAGCTAGTGTGATTAGAATGTACATATAACCCAATATTTTTATGTCATCCATTTTTTTTAAAAAGGAATCACCACAATTTTTAGAAGTCAGAATTTCAAGAGTTGCAAATTTTCTTATTATACACAGACAGTATGGTTAAAATGAACTGGTGAAATATCGCATATTCTGCTGCTAGTGAAACCAATGCTCTCTGATACATTGAAATTAAGATTTAAAATATTTTTTGAAAAAGTTTTTAAAAATTCTTGAGAGGCTTGACTTAGCGGATGAGCTGGATCTGGCTAGACATCTTAGCATTCTAGAGTTCTGCTAAAATGGAAAGTGTTCAATGGGATACCCCAACAGAATGAAAATGGCACTAGGTCAAATGGCGCTGAGAATACATGACATGGTATTGAAATTGAGCATCAACAAAACTTACTTTAGAGATTCAAACTTTCGTTTTTCTTTATGATGAGATGGAGCTGGTGACTCTGCTTGTCTTCGAACTCCAGAATTATGTAACATGGACATTGATGACGGCCCTATCCCAGAACCCCCTACTCCTATTGCACTGCCCCCTTTTTGGTGATGTTGAAGATTGGCCTTCCCAGATTTCTGAAATAAACGACATAAATCAAATTAATGTAAAGTTTGCACAGTAAGCTTTATTTCATCAATTTATTATGTTTCATAACATATTGTAACAATGAAATATGTGCTAAAGACAATTTCTTTTACTCAACTGCTAGTGCCTGTTAAATACATTAATTCAACAGCTATTATAAATATTTTATATCTTTTTAAAATCTACAAATGAAATATAGCAATTCAAAATATAAAATATCATGGAATTATGATGAACAAATGTTTCAACCTTTAAGTTATTGCATATGGTTATAATTTGTCCCTAGCATCAACTGCCAGTCACAAAAAATGGTGGCTATAATATATCTAAAATATAATGTTCCTGTTGGTGATACAATAAAAAATGTGAACTGTATAGAACATGTATAACAAACAAACAAAAAACAAACAAATATATTAAGCATTAACAATAAACAGAATAAATAGAAAACCTTGAATAAAACATTTTATTCTATCTTTATGTATAACTTTTACCCTGAAAGTATCCAATGAGTCATGAAGAATAGGCTTCAGCCGTGCCATCAACACTTTCATTTTTCTGTATTCATTCCTAGTTATATGAATTGCACCGTCTTTCTATATATAAGGTACATTCATAATTTCAGAAATATTTTCCTTAAGGAATAGTACCAATAAATCGTAGTAGGAGGACAAAATTAGGAATTCTGACCTTAATTATTAAAACTTGTGGAAATTACCTACAGGATAGGTAAAAAATGGATCAATTGATGTTTTTGTCAACCCATCCCATCATTTGGAGAAAATGGATGAAGACAACTTAAACCTTTGTGACATGTAAATAAATGAAACTAGTTGTGACATGTAAACATAACAAGACACACAGTGATAAATATCGCACTTTGAAGAGCAAACTGGCCACCATGCAATTCACCCAGCATGGCCAAAACCTAATCAGACCTTGGCACTAGTCTGCTCTTGCATCTGTTAACATTTCAAGTTGACAAGGTTAGCGGTTTTCCTGCAATTTTGATGACAAGAATTTATTTGTAGTCTTGAACTTTGGGAAAATTTAGATAACATTGTTTGTGACCTAATTTGATGACCTTCGACCTTGAAAATTTAACTTTTTCAGACCTCAGTAGGTGTTTTGTAATTAAGCTGACCTAAATTTAAATCCAAAATATCAATTTAGAAAATCAACTTTTTGACCTTTTCAAGGCCACTGAAGGTCAACGAAAGGTCAAATCTGAAATCTAAGGTCAGATTTGAACTTCTGAGAACTTGAAGATGTTTTTTAAAAAAAAAAATGGTCAATTTGGAGCAAGTTGAAAAATTCAAAATGGCCGCCAAATTGAAAAATTCAAAATGGCCACCATGTAATTCAGCCAGCATACCCAAAACCTAATCAGATCTTGGCAATAGTCTGCTCTTGCATCTGTAAATATTTCAAGTTGAACGGATAAGTGGTTTTCCTGGAATTTTGATGACAAGATTTGTTGAAAAATTCAAGATGGCCGCCACGTAGTTTACCCAGCATGCCCTAAACCTAATCAGATCTTGGCACTAGTCTGGTATTGCATGTGTAAAAATTTCAAGTTGAACTAGGTTAGCGGTTTTCTTGGAATTTTGATGACAAGAATTGATTTGTAGTCTCAAACTTTGAGAAACTTGGATAACATCATTTGTGACCTAGTTTAATGACCTTGACCTTCGACCTTGAAAATTTAACTTTTTCAGACCTCAGTAGGTGTATAAGCTAACCTAAATTAAAATCCAAAATATCAATTAAGAAAATCAACTTTTTTGACCTTTTCAAGGTCACTGAAGGTGAATGAAAGGTCAAATCTGAAATCTAAGGTCAGATTTGAACTTCTGAGAACTTGTAGATGTTTTTAAAAAAAAAAGTTGGTCAATTTGGAGCAAGTTGAAAAATTCAAAATGGCCGCCAAATTGAAAAATTCAAAATGGCCACCATGTAATTCAGCCAGCATACCCAAAACCTAATCAGATCTTGGCAATAGTCTGCTCTTGCATCTGTAAAAATTTCAAGTTGAACGGATAAGTGGTTTTCCTGGAATTTTGATGACAAGATTTGTTGAAAAATTCAAAATGGCTGCCACGTAGTTTACCCAGCATGCCCTTAACCTAATCAGATCTTGGTACTAGTCTTCTCTTGCATCTGTAAAAATTTCAAGTTGAACAGGTAAGCAGTTATCCTGGAAATTTGATGAAAAGATTTGGTTTATATCCCGCCTGCCCGCACACCCGCCCGCACGCCCGCCCAACAGCACAAGACGACGACAATATAGCACTTTTTCAAAGTGCGATAAAAAATCCTGGTAGAACGATAACTATATACTGCCCATGCCCATTCTTCAAAATACATTTATGATTTTTCAAATTTTCAAACTCTAAAAAAAGTTTTTAAGTGAATAGAAGCCCAGTTTTAACATGTGAACCATGTTCCTCCTGTTATATTTCATTAACCATGTGACAATACTAAGACATATCCAGGTCATATTCATGCATCAGGTTAATCCTAGTAAATTGAGAATGTACTATTTCTTCCCATACCTGTGTATGTAAGGTAGACACTGTGGATGTATGGCTTGTAGTGGGGGTGATAGGCATAGGGGGATACTTCTGGAGGACTTCTAGGGGTGGTGCTTTTACACCTTCAATATGCATCTTATTCTGTAGTAACGATTGTCGAAGATATGGCAGGCTTTTCTGAAATTCAAAGGATGCGATGTGTTATATATCCTGTCAATGACTGATTTTGATGACACTTTAAGTTTACGTTCATAACATTTTTAAGAAGCACTCTCAGTTGCCAAATCATAATCAACATTTCTGACTCAGGCTCAAAATAATCTGATCAAATGCATTGTTTTTTTACAACAAACTATAGACACTTTGACGCTTTTATAATGGACAAAAAGTTCCTATAGTTAATGAGACCAATTCTTAGCATCATTTCCAAAATTCACAATAATTAAAACATACCAGGGGTGTGTGAGGCAGAATATCACAGAAAGATATTTTTTGAACATCTTTGTTTTGTTAAAACTATATCGTAAAAACCTAAATTGGAATAAACTATATTTGAAAAAGAAAAAAAAAATATCTAGTATCATAATAGTATACTATCCTTTGAGGCTCAAGTTTGGCATCGCCTTCTTAAGTTTGCCTCACAACACCCATACATATGCCTCACCACACCCATGCATACATACCTTCAAGAAAGGCACAAGGTAGGGTTGAGGAGATGATTTGAGCTCAATCTGTAGTTGACGCGGTAAACATCTCAGGCTCGATTTTACCATCCTATAATTGAACCAAAAGCATAGATTTGTTAAAGGACCTCCTCATCATTATTTGAAATTAAATAATCAGAAATATACTAATCATAGCTGCATAGGAAAAAGTAGAATTCTTTGTAGGTTCTTCCAATTTATTCTGTATACAAAGAGTAAATAAAATAGAATATGGACACAGATATAACATTTTCATGTTTTCTAAAATCTAAGAAGTACATCCTTTTCTCATTTTTCTCATCTGCGCATACAATACTATACATTCCAACATTCCAATATATTTCCATATTGTGCATAATATAACACACTCTAAAAGACTATACTCACAATTAAACCTTGTATGAGATCTTTCACATTTTTCACAGTTGCTTGTGGTTGGTTGGATGCAAGTTTGATGAGTGTAGACAGGAAGTTTTTACATTTTTTCACATTTTCCAACATACTTTGGCTCAGTTGTGGGGTCTGCTCCGAAACTGAAATAGAATTCTTTTGATAAAAACTATATTTTAAAATCTTCAGAATAAAACTGTTCAAAAAATCAGAATTGTTATTCATGATGACATTGAATAACTTCAACAATTTGTATGTTTGAACAGAAATTGCCAAACATTGAATAAACTGCATGTGTTTCCATGGTAATTTTGGTTTTCAAGTTGACAGACTGCACTTCAATTTTACACTTTGTTTAATGGTAGGTTTTGACAAAACAAAAAATAACATCTAAAGAACAGACACAAATGTTGTTGTCTTATAACAAATTGTAACATTAAATATGTTACTTCACAGGGGTTTCAATAGCAACAGATTATTTCTCTGGTTGAATTTACCAAAATTGCCTTTTTGAGAAATTTTGTGACCAAATTATTTTACCTTTTGCAAGACATTCCAATGAAGCCCTAGGTTAAGAATTAAATAACAATTAGGGCTGAGATTCCAAATAAAAAGTTTATAATTAGCATCTTTAGGAAATGAATGAAAAAGGTTGGCTAAATTTTGTAAACGGGGTTATCCCAGTGGTTGCCTCACCCATAGTTTGTGTGGGTTGAGGGACTATATTCTGTTGCTGCGATAGTTGTTGTATAGCCACACCTGGACGCTGAATTGACGATATATTCACTGCAGGCCTGATACTTGATGTGCCTTGGGATGGACGAATAATATTTGGAATTTGCTGCCGTATTTGTGTAACACCAGTAGTGGTCATTCCAGGCTGAAATAAAAAAAAATATACGTTTGAAAAACATATATCAATTTAATGAAATACTGAAAGACATGTTAATTTTGTAAAGCAAAAAAATGATATGGGTAAATAAGTTTTTAGTTTAGTTCTGCAACTCACTGCAAGTATACAGAAAATCATAGATATCTACCGAGTCTGTTTTTTTGCTGTACTGCGTTATAAGAACTTCTGCCTCAATCATACTTTAGAGTTTAATGCTACACCAGGTTGAGAATTGAAAATTACACGTTCACCCTGTTGAATATCTGGATGCACCCAGTCAAAATAGTGAAATGTTGAGATTTAACCCAAATCCCAGGATGATCACTGATTAGTGTATCAAGAATCTAAGAATCTACCTTGAGCTGTATGGTACTGCCTGAAGTCTGCTGTTGTAGGGACTGCTGACCCTGTTGTACTACCATCAGCTGCCCCTGTTCATTCTGCATCAATACTGACCCTGGTGGCAGTTTGACACCTGGCGGTAGAGTTATGGTACCCTGAAATGACAAGCAATGAAATGTAATTGAACTGCCCCTGTTCATTCTGCATCAATACTGACCCTGGTGGCAGTTTGACACCTGGCGGTAGAGTTATGGTACCCTGAAATGACAAGCAATGAAATGTAATTGAACTGCCCCTGTTCATTCTGCATCAATACTGACCCTGGTGGCAGTTTGACACCTGGCGGTAGAGTTATGGTACCCTGAAATGACAAGCAATGAAATGTAATTGAACTGCCCCTGTTCATTCTGCATCAATACTGACCCTGGTGGCAATTTGACACCTGGCGGTAGAGTTATGGTACCCTGAAATGACAAGCAATGAAATGTAATTGAACTGCCCCTGTTCATTCTGCATCAATACTGACCCTGGTGGCAATTTGACACCTGGCGGTAGAGTTATGGTACCCTGAAATGACAAGCAATGAAATGTAATTGAACTGCCACTGTTCATTCTGCATCAACACTGACCCTGGTGGCAGTTTGACACCTGGCGGTAGAGTTATGGTACCCTGAAATGACAAGCAATGAAATGTAATTGAACTGCCCCTGTTCATTCTGCATCAATACTGACCCTGGTGGCAGTTTGACACCTGGCGGTAGAGTTATGGTACCCTGAAATAACAAGCAATTAAGTATACTTCAAATGCCCCTGTTCATTCTGCATCAATACTGACCCTGGTGGCAGTTTGACACCTGGTGGTAGAGTTATGGTACCCTGAAATGACAAGCAATGAAATGTAATTGAACTGCCCCTGTTCATTCTGCATCAATACTGACCCTGGTGGCAGTTTGACACCTGGTGGTAGAGTTATGGTACCCTTAAATAACAAGCAATGAAATGTAATTGAACTGCCCCTGTTCATTCTGCATCAATACTGACCCTGGTGGCAGTTTGACACCTGGCGGTAGAGTTATGGTACCCTGAAATAACAAGCAATTAAATATACTTCGAATGCCCCTGTTCATTCTGCATCAATACTGACCCTGGTGGCAGTTTGACACCTGGCGGTAGAGTTATGGTAATAACAATCAATGAAATGTACTTCAAATGCCCCAGTTCATTCTGCATCAACTTTGACCCTGGTAACAAGAAATAGAAAACAGAGCTTTGAATGAATTATATGAATATCTTAGCCAACTGATTTTACACTTGGGAATGAAATTTAGGGACTGCTCCACCATGTTCAGAAAGTTTCAGAATATAATTTTCCCAAAGAGATCATGTAGAGTTTATTAGAGTTATTTGCTAGGCCTATTCATTTTAGATGAGTTTGTCCAATCTTTTTCACCTTTAGTATTTCACACCGTCCTTATAACTGTTCATCTTTTCAATGTTTCTGTTAGTAAAGGATTTCTAAGAAGCAGAAAGATTTGGGCCTCTAATACCAAGAGCAACTTCTTGATGTATTTTACTAACATATCAAGAATTGGAGATATAGCAAGGGGTAATAAACTTTGTAAATTTCAAATCTTAGTTCATACCATTTATTGTTATCTATCCCTAGTTTTTTAAGTTTAATAAGTTCATAATTCATTCAAAGAATTAATAATTTTTACATTTGTATTGATTCTTTTCAAGTTATTTGTTATCTACATGTATTACTTTTTGGGATTATCTAACTGGATGAAATTATTTATATTATTATGATTTCAAATACTATTTCATTAAATACAATAAGCAGTCTACAGCTATATCATCTCAATGTTTTGCACAAAGTACATGCATATTAGAGGAAGTTTGAATTTTATTTTGAAGAATTTACAATTGTTGATTTTTTTAAATATTATATCCTAGAGAATGTATAGGAGATATTGTTTGATCAAACTGTAACTTTAGCTTTTGGGGATGTTATTAGAGAGTTTACAATATAAATGAATAACAATGGTTTTGATGTTAATTTTGAATACTATACAATTGTAGCTTTAAGAAACAGATATATATTTTTGTTTTCAATTTATCCAACATTTACGATTAGATGAGTGATAGAACTCAATTAGCATGCAACTAGATATAATCTTCTTGGGACATTGTTAACCTTATAACTGCGATTCTTAACAAGAATAGAAAATGATAAAAGAAAATGACTATAAAAATCAAAGTTCATCACTTTGTTTAAAGGTGCAACAATTAGTGCAGAGGGGCCATTCAACATTCATGGACCAGTGTCAAAATATATTTTAAGTTTGGATATTTCATCAAGACTGTCATATATTTTTATTATCTCCAAAGAAACCCCCTAGATGAACATTATTTTAGCTGATATTCCTCTTGAAATGTGGTGGATCTTAAAAATCTATAAGTGGGACTCCCTTTATAGAAGCTTTGAACTGAATTTACACTTCTCATACCTGCCAACCTACCGTATTTTTACGGGAATCTACCGTAAATTTTTCGTTTTTTCCGTAAAAAAATGACAAACTACCAGGGCTCTCGCCAGGCTTTTAGACTGTGGCGCAGCACCACACTCTATTTAGCTCCCTCCACACCCTATTGCCAAATCATGACCGTTTCCACAGTCTTAACTTGACTGAATATACAATAATAGCATGTAAAAAGGATAAAACATAACATAAATATGATTTATCACGATTGAACGGTTATGTTAGCACCACACCCTAAATATTTCCTGGTGAGAGCCCTGAACTACCGTAAGAAAATGCCATTTTTTTCCCGTAAAAACGCCCGTAAAAAAATCTACCGTATTTTTTCCGAAATCTACCGTAAATTTTTTTTTTTAAACTCGTTTTTTCCATGAGAACGGCCGTTAATTCTACCGTAAATTTTTGAAAATCTACCGTATTTCTGCTAAAATCAACAGTATTTTTGTTCAAACTACCGTAAAATCTCCCGTTTTTGTTTGGAAATGCTTAAAATTGAAGTCTTTCTGTACTGTCCCTGTAATAACCTTTACCAAACCGAATATAAGGTATCGGCAGGATATTGAATCGATTCAAAATTCTAAATCACATTCCCCGTCCGGGAAAGTCCATGAAGTTCGTAAACAGACCGCAGAACGTTGTAGCTACGTTCATTCAGTTCGCACACAGTTTAAAACCGATTCGGCAACGTTTTGCAGAATGCAGAGACAACTGTTTCTGGTGTGATAGCTATTTTTGTTAATTCGTTCATAAGCAGTTTTTAATACGTTCATCTCGTCTTTATTCCGTCTGCAGTACGTTGGTATCAAGTTTAGATGGGGTTAAATTGTGCGTTCGTCTGGTCTACACAACGTAACCAAGCAGTTCAATAATTACGTCCTTAATCAGTTAACCAGTTGACAATTAGTTATACCTCGTTCTCAATACGTCCTAATATGTTACTGAATTATCCACCAAATTTCCATACGGTTGAACTCGTTCTAAAATAGTAAACATCGTGTCCCTAATCCGTGCAGAACGCATTTATTTTTTTCGGTCGAGTTGGGTCTGTCTACGAACAGAATGAACGAGCTACAAACGGACTAGATTGGGGTACTCACGGCTGCAATTTACGCCTGACTACACAACGTCGTGATACGTCCCTAGTAGCTTTGAAGTACGACACTTCCGTTCGTAGTGTGTCCCCAGTGCGCCCAGGTCGTCTTAAGTACGTTATCACTCGTGCTGCTAGAACGTAGTGAGAACTAGTTTGTTGTGATAACAGGGTTAACATACTGTTTTATTCATTAGTTTTTTAGAAATCTACCGCAAAAACTACCGCATTTTTTCAAAATCTAACGCAAAATTACTGCATTTTTTCAATTTTTTCCGCAAAACTAGTTTTTTTAAAATCTACCACAAAAACTACCGCATTTATTCAAAATCTACCGTAAAAGTACGCATCTTTTGCATATCTTCCGCAAAAGTACCCGTTTTTCAAAAAATTACCGTAAAAACTACCGCATTTTTCGAAACTACCGTAAAACTACAGCATTTTTTCAAAATCTTCCACAAAACTACCGGTTTTTAAAAAACCACCGTAAAAACTACCGCATTTTTTCAAAATCTACCGTAAAACTACCGCATTTTTTCAGAATCTTCCGCAAAACTACTGATTTTTCTAAAACTACCGTAAAAACTACCGTATTTTTAAAAATCTACCGTAAAACTACCGCATTTTTTCTAAATCCTCTGTAAAACTACCGCTTTTTTAAAATTTCTACCGCAAAATTACACTTTTTTCCAAAAATCTACCCCAAACCTCTGAAACTACAGTATTTTTTAAAAATTTCCCGCAAAAACTACCGTATTTTCTAAATCTACCGCAAAAACTACCGTTTTTTTTACAAATCTACCGCAAAAACTACCGGATTTTTGTTGAAAAATACCGTAAAATCTACCGCATTTTGAAAAAATCTACCGCAAAAATACAGCAATTTAAAAAAAATCTACCGCAAAATTTTGGTCTTAGGTTGGCAGGTATGCTTCTTAATGCTGAAATTGATAGTTTATCCATACATTTAAAGAAAATAGGTACTTCAAGGTAGATATTTAGCCAAATAATGACCTGATAGCTCATAAAAAGTAAAAATTTTCGAATTTTCTCTCTACAGTCCTTGTTGACCCTTTAAGAGCAGAAAACTATACTGTATATGTCAGTTTTTGGTACATAGTTAAGAGCTTCTTACAATGAAAGCTATGAGGATTTTTCTTAGAGAAAAAAAACAAGCTGAAGCTCAATCAAAAAGAGGCAATTACAGATCATGTTGACTTAAAAAATATTTATCATTCATATTGATTTCAGTACTTTTTCCCTGAAAATGCTGATTCTGTCAAAAATAAAAAATGAACATCATTATTATGTATTTTTCAAGTAAACATAAAGATGCAGTACATGGTACCAAATTATATGTATAGAAACAATTCAAAAAAATAGTGCATGTATGGCTATTGCTGGCAACTAAGCACTCCACTATTCTCCACAAGAAACTTACCGGGTTGCCAGGTAATCGCGGTGCAATAATCTGTTGTGGACTGGATGCTATTCTTACTGGACCACTGGAAACCATTCTATGTTGTTGTTGAGCTGTAACCATCCTTGGAGCTATTGTTTTTTGCTGACTTCTACCAGTATTTACAACAATTTGTTGTGAATTTGCTGGAGCCTGAGTCCTTACTATAGTAACTGTTTGTGGTGATGGTGTAAAAGTATTTACAATCGCACCAGTTGACACTGGTGTAGAACTCCGAGTGGATACAATATTAACAACAGTTTGTTGAGGAGTTACTCTACCAGTTGGCTCTACCTTAATAGGAACAGCACTGTTATTGGTCTCTGATTTTATCACAAATTGAGCTGAAGGACTTTGATGGGAATTCTGTATTGATACATTTGGATTGTGTGCGAGTGATGCTACTGCTTGGGGAGTAAGTGTTTCTGATTTTGGAACCATCATAGGTTTTTGTTCTGCAGCCACTGCTGCTAAACCATACATAGCACTGGGATTATCCTGTGCCATACCACTCGCAGCAGTGTTTTTATGGTTCGCTATATTTCGTTGTGCACTATTTATGACTTGCTGCACAACGTTTTGAGCGTTTGTATTGTTTATAACTGATATTACTTGTTGGCTGACACTGGTTGAAATGGGATTTGAACTTGTAGATCTTTGCACAACCCCACTACTATTCACTATAATTTTGGGGGTTGGGGCCTTTCCAACCCCTAATGATGGTGATCCAGGACCCACTGAATTTATTCCAATGATCTGAGTGTTTGGCACTTGCGTTTTAACTGTTCCTACAGTGTTAGAGTTCGAATGATTTTGATTCTGCAAATTCAAACCTGTTTTTTGTCCCGCTTCAGAAGTGTGTTGATTTTGTATGGAGTTCAACTCTGATTTTATGTGGTTGGGAAGCGCATTTAGCTGAGATTTTTGTCTCGGTTGTTCTTTGGATGTTGGTGAAGCTAGCTGACTTTCCAAAGATCCAACTAAAGCGTTAATTACGCTCTCATCGACGTCAGAAGATAGATATTCCTCTAACGGGTTACCGTTCGCCATTTTCTGCCTCACAAACTGATATACGCATGCGCGGAACAAGCACCTTAAGTTTGACACGCCACAAAAATGTTTTTGGCACTTAGCTTTTTAACAAACTTGAGCCTTTGTTGATGAGGAAGCGTTTAAGGATTGGTAAAAAACGAGACATGGAGTTATGTTTTGAAAATGAGTGCACAGGCTTTGCATGACATTCTGTATGCATCTCAAATTTTGATTTTTTGCAAGTGCGCTACTCGAACAGCGCCATCTATTCGCTCCGCGAAGCCTTTCAGTCAGTACCGCCATTTTATTTCGGGAAGAAAGTCGACCGAGAACTTGGTGCGAAAATCCGTCTCCATCCTATCTTCTAGACCTTCTGGTCAGTTTCAACCATGAGTGGAGGAGGTATTCCATATCTCGGTAGTAAGATAAGTCTGATTTCTAAGGCTGAAATTAGGTATGAAGGGATTCTGTACACCATCGATCCCAACGAATCGACCGTAGCTCTTGCCAAAGGTTTGTGAAATTCACTTTTCTATTTCTTTGTTCTCTGTTATTACTTGTCCATATAATTTTCAGTTTTAGAAACCTGTTTTCTCATTAGGTTATGACATAACTATGAGAGTGGCAGAAAAATTATTTAGAGAGCCCAGGGTTTGTTGAAACACCAACTTTGGTGCAAATTCTTTATTTTGTTTTGTTGTTTTCACAGACGAGACAGTGTCAGAGAGCCAGGCTATTTATACTAGAGGTGTAACTCTCGACCCGTAACTCGAGTACAGTTCGTCAGAGCTGCCTATACATTGCCTCGAGTTGTCTTCTAGAAACTCTCAATCTATTTCAACTCACGAGCTAGCTATAACTCGAGTAAACTCGCGAATTTGCCTATCTTGCAAGCATATAAAATGAATTCGGGTCCCAGAGATCGTGCAACATTATTTCATTAGGAGAATAAATATACCAATGATCGCCATATTTAGAGTCCATTTCACTGTTTAACTGCGTCAGTAAGAGCAAAAAAATTTGTATACGGGTCATGTAATCATAAAATTTGAAATCAAATATTTGGCCATTTTTCCACATCATAATTTGAATTGCGAGTTTTGGTCTTATTACCTCACCAAATATTCTAAGACACACATGAAATGATTCTGGATCGCTAGAGTCCATTTCACTGTTTAATTGCGTCAGTAAAAGCTAAAAAATAAGAAATCAAAATATCATTTTGCAATAATATATGGAAAAATATATTCCTATTGTACATGAATGACATTTTTATATCTTGGATTGCTTCTTGTTTGGCTTATAAAGTGTGTGGCCTCTTATATTAGAATGCTTCTCTGCCATGTTATTTTCAATAAGATTAACATGGCTGAAATCCTCAAACTACAATTCCAGGGAACATTTTTTCAAGGGACACAGTTTTTTGAGGGGAGACACATTTTTTGAAAATCGTTACGTCCTAGGACGCAATCTTGGACAAACCTTCTGAAAACACTGAATTTATAACACGCCGCCAGCTTTTTTCAAATGGTTCATGGTGTTCCAGATGAAATTACTTCTAGCCAAGACTCTAGTAGAAATATATATATTCACCAATACTAGAATTGCTATTATCCAAATAAATCAGTTATGATGTTTTAAAAGAACATACCGTAATCGCCGTATTAAGGGCCCACCCCTAATAAGTACCTACCCGCTTCACAGAGTTCAAGAAATATCGAGGAATGACCAAGTATTAACGAATATATCAGAAAAAAAATCAAATTTCCAAAGAATATAGTGGGCGATAATAGAGTACTTACACTAAAATGCAGAAAACATTACACATTTTGTAAATCGATACATCCTCTCGATGAATATCTATCAGTGGGTGCTTCCCACATCATACTAAGCTAAAATTATCTCAAATAGTCCATAATGAATGAAAGAAATGATCACATTTCAGAGATTTGTTTCGACATTTTTCTAACTTAGCGATCGTCAGTCGTGAACTTTCTTGTTTCTTTCTTGATTTCTCGACGTTAACATGACTTTTAAAAGAAAAATGATGATCTATCATCAAATTAAAAAAAACAAGGTATAACTTTAGATTGATATTTAACAGTCTATAGTGGAAATATTGAAGATAATCGCGGAATAAATTCCTTCGCCTCGAGGGGCTCTGCTTGGGTGTTCTTCAATCACAGTCGATATAGTTAGATTCTTGCTTTATTTTAGCGATTTTTACCATATTCTCTCCAATAACGATATATATCATTATTGTAAAAATATGCTGTCACTTTCATTGCAAATAAGGCCTTTTTGGCAAGAAAAATTCCCATACATGAAATTCCCGGGGATTTTTTACTTCCTTCATATATGGGCGCTCATTGTAATGGGTTACAATGGGAATTTCAATTTCAAAAGCGTCCTGGGCGCTTATTACAGTGAATATGGTATTTTGTTATTTAGTAATCATGATGTTAAATTCTTTGGATCATCATCTTGGTTTTTAAAGTCTATTCAATGTTTTATTTTCACCCAATTTCATGCCACCAAAAAGTGGTGACATATTGTTATGGTCTCAGTTTTTTTTTTAGGCTGTTGGCGTCTGTAACAAATTCTTACAACTTCCAATAACTTAACACTGTGTAGACTGACTTCAATTTTTCAGGTCTTTTTTCAACTTGACCAATTCTCAGAAAGTTCTCAGAAATTCAAATCTGACTTAAAGTCTCCGATAAATCGGGCTACGTATACCGCCGTGTTTACATTAGGGGATTAGAAGAGTTTATTTTTTATTTAGGTATGCAAGCTACGTATATCAATATTAGGCCTTCATTCATGTACTCGTGTGCATGTAATCAGCATGCCCTTCAATATTATGTAAATAAACCAGGCTATTCAAGTACTGTATAATGTACACTATTTATGTGTGTACTACATACAATACAATTCCCTGGGAAACAAAACACAAATACTTTTTATATGTTCAAAATGAGCCATTTGATTGATGCAAGCACTAAATAGCTTCATAAGTAACATCTACAAAGTATATCTAATAGTTATTTTCAATTTCAATGGTGAAACTTCCCTGGTTACGGTGACATTTTGTCATTTTAATGCCTGGTTGATGTTTAGCACTTAATTTTGCAAGTTTAATTGATTCTTTATAAATTCAGGTATTTGGTATCAGACTTTCAGTGCTGGTATTAGGCCAGAATGCCACAGTAATCGTTTGCCATATATTACAGCATAATAGTCTTATGAATCGTTTTTTGAATTGATTTTTCATATTAATGATATGTATTTTGAGATCTGGCTTCCTAATATTTCCAAACAAATTAATGGAATAGAAAGTGCAGAGCAGTTCAATCTGTTATTCAACAATTCTGATAACTGTTACATTGATATCTTCCAGTTCGGTCATTTGGGACAGAGGATCGACCGACTGATCGTCCAGTTGCTCCTAGAGATGAAGTGTTCGAGTACATCATCTTCCGGGGAACTGACATCAAGGATCTGCATGTGTGTGAGGCACCTAAGCCTGTCATCCAGTCTGTTCCGTCATCTATGCCCCAAGATCCTGCAATAGTAAAGGTATATACTCGATATGGCTCGCTATTACTATAACATGTAAATGGCTTGCTATTTGTTAACATGGGCATTGGGCATCTCATCTTAATTTTCGCCAGTCTTTTTCGCATAATAGCAGAACTCTAAAATTAAGAAAAATATCGAAATAGAATTTAATTTAATTGGATAAATGATTTTTTGAGATATGAAAATATACAAATTAAGATTTTAAATGTTTGGAAGTACTTTGAATTAAAAAAATAAGCAATCAAATTACTATATTGCAACAGTATATGAAAATATAGAAACATATCAGGCCTAATTTTTGTTTATTTCAGAATGTAATTTAGAGAATTCAGCCATATTAATTTTTTTCAAAATAACATGGCAGAGAAGCATTAAAATATAACAGGGCACATTTATGATAGCCAAACTACAAAGCAAACTAAAATATACAAAAGTTAGGCCATGTAGAAATGTTTCTATTTTTACATATACTGTTTCACTATGGTCCTTTGATTGCTTATCTTTTAGATTTAAAAGACTTCCAAACATTTAAATATATACTGTAGTGACGATTTACTTCTCAAAATGTTCAGTTTGCAAAATACCTCTGTATTCATCAGTCCTCTCCAACAATACTCTTGGCAACTGGAGATGTATCTGTATTTAATTATTTGCATTAAATAAATCTCATCTCAAAAGGCAGTTAGTTTTCCAGAAATGTTGACATAATCAATAGTTCATAATCTACACTGCTAAATCATTGTTCAAAGTTTGACAAACTCATGCATTCTTGTATTCCAGTCATCTAACCCAACAACGATTGTACCACCAGGGTCATGTCCACCAAACCATGGCCAGTACACCCCCAGCTCCACCACCTACCAACCATTTGGGGCTAATATGCCTCCTTATAACCAGTTTGCAGGTCAGCAACAGGTTCCTGTGCAGCAGCAGTTTGCAGGTGTTGGTCAGTCCTCAGTAGGGTCAGGTTAGTGGAAAATATAAGTTTTTGATATTCATAAATTCTGTACTTGAAATTGGTAGATTCTGTAGTTGATATTGATGGATAGTGTTCTCTATAGGAGTATATTTTGACTTAAAGGTGTCATTGAACACCCATGAAGAAGTTTTTAGGCAGAACACTGAAAAATGAAACCGTTGTACTTACATGAGAAAAAATGATGCATTCAAAATAATGCTTGAGATAATTATTGCCTGTCTGTATGTGGTGATTGACCCAAGTCGGTATGAATTTATCAGGTGGTTCGCGTGGAGCAACTCCTCCCATTAGCCGTAAGTCTCCAACGATGGATGCAGGTGTGCAAGTTAACTCTAGACCCGCCCCTAAACCTGGTAAACCAAACCTGCTTCCCATGCAATTAACCTAACACGCACCTGGTCAAACCTGGGTATCGTAAACAGAAACTTTCGTAAAGAATTTCTCAGTCAATTATTTTTACTATGACATTTTATCTATGTTTACAACAATTGATTAGAGAAACTCTTTACGTTATGAAGTTTCTGTAATGACACCCTGGTTGTTAATAAAATCAAGCAGGACTAAATGGTTGACAACTAGATTCAAACATGTCTGTCAACACAAATTGTCTGCCTTGTAAGTAAGACTCCCCTTGCCTAAAATATTTAAATTAATAAAACATGCGCATGGCAAATCCTGGCTTAAAAGTACCATAATGGTAATCAGATATAATTTTAATTGCATGTATTCAATCTAATCTTATCATTATAGGATCTAATACCACCCACCCTCAGCACTCTATATCTTTCACATCTATCAGTCTATCTCATCATATCATATGACATTTCAAAGACAAAATCTCTTCAAATCTAGAGAAGAGAAATCTTTTGTTCTGATGAATCATGGGTTACAAAGTTCAAATATATAAATTCCTAGAAATCTTAATCTGGGACTCTGAAAACTGAAGTTTGAAGATCAAGAAGATTCAATGGTCATGATGTATAAGACCTTACATTATCTCATCGTTAATCAATTAATTAATTAATTTTTAATATTGTAATATGCATTGTATTGAATGCTGCAATATTAACCCATTTTACTGCATGCTTTAATCCTGGAACTGTTTGATTTAAGCATTGCCAGTTGAGAATGGGCAATATTTGCAGTTGTTATTATGTCATCACCAGAAGTGGTGACATATTGTTATAGTCTCAGACTTTCTTGTGGATGGTGTTCGGCAGATGGCAATAAGCTAATGGCAGGACTGGTAACATTTTGCATGTTAATGCCCTGTACGTGTATATAACATTTCACACACATCCAAAATTCATCTCACTACAGTCTGTTACACTGCTTCAAAGGCAAGCAGTTAAACTTGAAATATAAGAAATCTAAATAATATTGTGCAATAATATATAGAAAATGACATTTGTATATGTTGGGTTGCTTGTTAATTGGCTCATAAAGTCTGTAACCTCTTATATTTTGATGCTTCTCTTCCATGTTAATTCTCAAAAAATAACATGGCGGAGAGACCTCAGATTACAAGAGGGCACAGGCTTATTGCACTAAACACTAAATAATCTGAAATATACAAATGTCATTAATGTGCAATACAAATATATTTTTCTATATATTATGGCACAATGGTCTATAGATTTCTTATTTTTTAGGTTCAACTGCTTGCCTTTGAAGCAGTGAAACAGACTGTAGGTTGGTTAGACTTAAGCATCATTTAAGCTTAACAGATATCTGTCTTATGTGGAGATTTGATTTCTCTCTTGCTTGTGATGTTAGACATTTTGTAAAATCACTATTCAGAGTTATATGTGTAATGAAATTAGTTAGCGTATGCTATATATACAAGATGATCATGAAATCAAAAACAAAACTTACTTTCCTAGCCCCCACATCCTGATAAAGTATATAGGAAATTATAAACATACATTTTGTACATGCTTTGCATATACTCTTCTTACTTAAGTTCTAAACCTTGGCTTGAACATTCCAGTCTAAAGTGTGCTTGTTAATAACAAACCCTGAATTTTACAATTGGATATTTCGGCACTCCAAAATTTTCAAACACCACACCACTCTGCCCATTCCAAAAACTAGATAAAAATATATTGATCATAAACACCCTAACCTATTGAAAATAACTACATGCATGTTTTCTCTTTATCTCATACATTCTATTTTGATATTCCTTTTTATAAGCATTACTTATTATTTTAGATGACTGTTATATGGACTGATATATTATAGAGAAGAAATATGTAAATGTTGTTTGGTAGATATCTTTTCAGTTGACATAGCACTTGTACTTAATTTTTGATTTCAACTTCATAATTTTGTTTTCACATTAATTCAACATTTATCTTTTTATAAAATTTAGTTATAAAGTACAAGTTATTTCAAATGCCCTTGTTTTGATGACTAATGAAGATTTTTAATCGTTATTGCAGGATCTCGTGGGTCAACCCCACCCCCAGCACGCAAGTCCCCTACTCAGGATGTTAGCACGCAATCATCCAATCAAGTATCTCGGGAGCAACGCAATTCTGAATCCAGTCACTCATCTCAAGATAATCGTCGTGAATTCAGTCGGAGTCAACAACGTGGGGGTAGAGATGGGAACTACAGGGGTCGTGGGCGAGACCATGGGCATCGCGGTGGAATGGAAGGTCATGGTGGTGGTATGGAAGGCCATCGTGGTGGCAGAGGAGGATATAGAGGTAAGTTCCTCACACATATTTAACTATTTTTTTTCTAGGATGTTTTAAAATCCATAGGGTTTTACTTGTTTCGAATATAATTTCCTCCAGAAACTAGTTATATGAATTAGAAATTATTTGCAGCATAAGTGAACTTACACAGTGTGCAGTTCAGTGCACCATGATCAGCTTTCAACTTTGTAGCCATCATATTCGTGCTGTATTTATAAATCATTTTACTTGCTTGCATTATCAGGTCAAAGTGGTGGGTTCAGGGGTCATCCTAGGGGTCAAAGAGGAGGTCCCAGAGGAGGTAATCGTCCCCCAGGTGCTGGTAGACCAAGAGAACCATTGAAATTTGATGGAGAGTTTGACTTTGAAAGTGCAAATGCCAAGTTTGATAAAGAAGAAATAGAAAAGGAACTGAAGAAAAAGCTGACCATCTGTAAGTAAAAAAGATTTGTATTATTTAAGACCTTAATTCTATGAATTATGATTATTGTTAAGACTGAAATCGCAGACCATTTGAGGTCTTTTACAAAATGAATTCTAAGGTCATATATTTGTCATAAATATTTTTGTTTCAATTCTAATATGATAAATAAACCAGAAAATTTAGTGGTCATACATACCCCATTTTAGACAAGTAAATCAGTTATTCTAGCAATTGTGACGTCACATTTCAAATTACAATTTTATTTAATGCAGTCCATTGGGATTTAAAAAAAACATACTCTTTATTAGATAAATTAATATGGTCTTGTGGTATGATATGTTTTCTTCAGCGTCAACTTTTTGACTGAAATGTATATATTCTTATCAATTTGTATTGGAAGTATTTGTTGTCTCCCTTTTAACATATTTGTAATGTTTAACTCTTTACCTACAGAACAACATTATTATGTCACCACCACCAGAAGTGATGACATATTGTTGAAGTCTCCAGCTTTTTGGTAGATGGCCACCTTCGAAGTTCAGTGGTTAGAGTTTGGTGTTGGGAGTTCAGTGTCTGTAACAAATGTCAGGTGGTGACATTTTGGATGTTTGTGCCTTGTCCATTTTGTTAAAAACTTTAATATGTTCAAGTATATGAATGTTGATTTATGATTATTTCAGCTGACAAGCCTCTTAATGGTGAAAAAGAGACCGGTTCAGAGGATGGCGAGATCATTGAGGAAGTTGTAGAAAATGAAAATGATATTGATGAGGAATTTTACAATAAAAGCAAGTCTTTCTTTGATCGTATCAGTTGTGAAGCTACGGATAAAGAAAGCAGAGGGTATGTCAGAATGCTTTTTATTACAATCCTTAACTTCAAATTCAATTTTCTCGATATTATCTGTCAGAGAGTAGTGTTGGAGTAATGAACTTGGAAAATGAAGGGGGAACAAATCCTTTAATTGCCCAGTTTGAGACATTTACATGAATAATTAAATTGGAATCTGCATGTTAAAACTGTTTAGAATTCCAGGAACTTATTGAACGATATGGTATTTTTGCAGAAGGCCAAATTGGCGAGAAGAAAGAAAAATCAACACTGAAACATTTGGTGTTGGAAGTACACGGCAGTATCGTGGTGGACGAGGCTGGAGAGGGGGGTACAGAGGTGGTTTCCGTGGCAACAGTGGTTTCAACAGAGGAGGCTGGAGAGGAGCACCACAAGGAGGAGGCAGACCAGCATTTAGAGGTATGTTTCTAGCAAGCAACATCCTAACTTGCTCTTCAGCCTGTAGTTGGGGGATTCAATATCCCAGATGCGAGTAGAAATAATCTTGATTTACGTCATTAAAAATTCACAATTCAGTCAAACTGATATCATATTTGGAATCTACATGTAAAATTACATTTAGAAATGTGGTTTTGAAAAGACTTTATCAACTTTGAAAATTAAATTTTCTTTGAAAATGTGACTTCTAGGTCTAGGGAGATTCCCCATAGAGCCCATGTTGTAAAACCACAAAAAGTGAAATATCTTTTATTGTGTTGGGCAGATAATATTTTCTTTTACTGGACATATTTTAATTTGTATAACTATCAGATACATAAAGGTAATATGAAAAGTGAACCATTAAAACTGATGCATATTCAAGTTTAAGGGAATTTTGTAATACCCTGCCATGTTAATTCCCCCCGAGTCAGTCACCTGGTGGCGAAACTGCTAACTACCTACTCGCATCTGAGTAATTGACCCCCCTCCTTTCCCAAAAATTCTTTCAAAATCATGCAGTTTTCACCATTCTGAGCAATTTTCAAGTGACTTTGGGCCAAAGTTGTGAAAAGTGAACCCCTTTGGCAAAAGCTGGCTGTGGGCCTGTGCTCTGTATGACAATAAGCAAAAATGTGAAAAGAAATGGGGTTGTCTCAAAAGTTAGTTAATACATTTTGTACTGCCTAAAATAAAATGTTTGCTGTATGAAAACAACACTGTATATCATTCTTGTATGCATACTGTATCATGACAATTCTGAATGTCATCCTTATTTTCTTCATTAGGAGGCAACGTGCGAGGCAGGGGTCGTCGTGGCAACCAGGGTTGGGTAGATTACGACTATGATTATGAAGCTGCAGGAATAGAACGCAGCAAAAATGCAGAGAATGCCAATAGAGTAAGTTTGCCATATCGAGAATCATCCTTCCGTCACCTATGAACATCCTTTTGAAAGATCACGCCTCAAATTCTCAATGAGGAAAATTTACACCATGTCTCTTGTTCGTGTGGGCCAAGATGGAAAAAAAGAAATTTTGCCTGACCCAAGTAATATCATTGTTGAAGAAATCATTGTTGAAAAAATCAATGTTGAATAAGACACATTAATTATCGCACTCATTCCAGAAAAAGATGGCCTAACCAGTGAGTGAGTCTAAAATTTGAAACCCTTTTAGCCAGAAACATTTATAGATTTAATGTGTTGAAAATACAATATCTTAATCATGTACATTGTGTATTTCCAGAACCAAACAGCCAAAGCATCATCATAGTTTCAGATCCTGCCACTTGTAATAACCATCCTTAAGCTAACCAGCAATAGTTTGTCATAAAATAAATACAAGAAACACACCAGTCAAAGTTGAGTGCAACGCTTCTTCTGCCATATAAGGGTACGACAATGGATATAATGAATCACAATGGATGGTGATCATAGAAATCTCATACAATGCTTCTGCATAAGCCGATGTCAAATTTGGACTATTTATTATCGCCTTTGACATGGAGTCTGTAAATGACATTGTTGTCCGAGGACATTGAAGCCAATAAGGCAATAAGGTGACATTGCTTATTTAATCAATTATATAGAATTTTGTGTTCATTCAATTTTTGTAAAAATGTTATATTATTTTGAGTGAATAGTTTTCATGCATGATGAAATATCAGCTGTTTACAATGGATTCAATTTAATTCTTTTTTTACTACAGCTGCACACCAAGTGCCACTGCTTGTTCCGTTATTGAACTGATATTTGATGATGCTTGTTAAATATATTCAAGAGAGGGCGGCACGCGTATCAGCTGAATCAGACAGTTTAGTAAGCTAGATACGGTGTCAGTAAGCCCATATGTGAAATGAAAACACTGGTGTGAATAGTCACCTTAAACATAAAGCAGAATGGAGCATTATACTGCAGGAGATATGCAAATGAAGAAGAAGCGTAATTGGAGTTATTATTTGAAATTTATTTATAAATCATTGTATCACCACTTGACTCCTATGGAGCTTGTTATTGAGATACAGTTATATGTGATTATATTTTGCTTTATATTGGGTTTGAAACCAGACGATAAGGAGAGATTTTAGACTGAAATCCACATGAATTGAGCATGATTTGATCAAGTAGTCTGGAAATGTGATATTAGTACTGGTAGCATAGATGGCCAATTGGTTTTGTAATCTGGGTTTTCGGAAAGTCATGTATGCAGTAAAGTCTATGAAAGTAAACACTGTCTAATTGTCCATTAAGAATTTTATGTTTTCATATTTTGAGGGTTTTAATTCATTAAAGGTAATGTTTGTCCCGGGTGGGAGGTTAACATGGGGGAATGCTTGCATCACAAACACAAGACATAGTCACCTATTCTTAGCAGTTTTGAACATGTCATTGGACTGCACCAGGGTCTGAATAAAGTAACACTTGTTTTGTATATTGGTTGAGTTATCGTGCCAGTAGATCAAAGTTGAAATAAGAGATAGTGATATCACATAATTTTGACGAGGGCTCAGATCTCTTTAAAAAACTGTTTTTACACAGTTGTGATATTACTTGTTATTACTTTGCTAAAAATGAAAACCAAAGTGCTAGACTGCAGCCCCCAGCACATTGCATTTTGGGAATATAAAATATAGAGTGTACTATATATTTACAACATCAGATAGAAATTCAAGTTATGCTGTTTCAAATGGAGTCTCCATCTGCCTAGCATAAGGTTCCAGACATCCTCCCTTTTGTCCCTGTTAATGAGAATTGAAGAACAGAGTAGATGATGTCCCGAGCCTATGTTTGGAAGATGCATCTCAATCTGCCTTCACTCCTGAGAACATATCAAATAAATATTGATCAAATTTGAGAGATTCTTATGTATCAATGGGGTGCAAGTCCTAATTTTACTCATTCCTATTCAATATCATCCTTTTGACATGCTGCAAACAGACTTAACAGGGTGTTGTGTATTTTCTAATTTTTAACAGGATGTAGGTCTCGTTTCTCTTGTGTTTGGAAAATGGCTGTTTTATACACTGGGGCAGGTAAATCAAAGAGCAAAACGTGGCTGTCCATGAAAAATAAGTGGTTCACTTAAGGCCATCATTCTATTTACAGCAATATCAATGGAAATTTGGCTTGAGGGACTATTTTCATCAGGAGCTGCTTTGATTTGGCTGTCTTATTTTGAGAATTGTCAAATTATATTGCCATATCAGAACTATACACTAGTTATTATTTAATGTGATATAATTTTTCGGGATGTCAAAAACTGAGATCCAGATGAAAGTGAATATTCATATTCTATTATTGCAGGCATGTGTTTCTAATGCGTTAACTCTTAATTCATCTGAATACTGATAAGATATATTACACATGGCTTCCATTTCTTTTTCATGGGGAGTTTCTACTAAGAAGAAATAATGAAATATGGTACAGTGAAATATTGTAACTTGTAAGGCATGTGTTTTCTGTGCTATTGTAAATGTTAACTATTGAATAGCATACTGAACCATCATCTTGTAACAAGCCCATGTAGCCCTGTCCAAACTCCTTCTTGGTGATAGATTGAGAATGTGGGGATGAACAGGGACTTGTTGCAAGACTAACCTCTAGCTACCTTTATCAGGTCATCTTTTTTTGCTGCCATTTAGATTGAAAAGAGCCTAGAATTGTATAGGGAATAGAACAAGGTTTAGAGTAGGTGTTGAGAAATTGGTGATACAATTATTCTTTACTCTTATGTTGATTGTAAACTTTTTGTAATACTCAGATGTATGTGATAATAATGGGAGGACATTATCCAAAGCTGGTTATATTATCCTGAAAATTAAATGTAAATCTGGTCACATTGAATCATATTTTTGAGATATTTATTTTGATGTATTTTGTAATTGACAAAAATCTAGTTATTTTGACAGTACAGTCATATATGTGGATACGTACAGTGTAAACGCTTCATGTATTGTTTTTAATGGTAGGTGGTGACATTTTACACATTCTGCCTTGTTTATTATTTTATAGATGTCATGGTGTTATTTTTCTCTTTGATAAGTTGAAATTATGTAACTAATAGAACCTATAGGTTACGCAATTTTCAGAGATATACTGTTAAAATAAATATCAGGGATATGATTAGAATATCTTACAGCAAACGAAAATAACATGGAAATAATTGAAAAGTTTCAAAATTCCTCAAAATATTGATATTTTTGTAAAAACAACAAGAAAAGTTGCCTATTTCTAATGAAAGTCCTGGATATTCAATATTTTTTGCGTTGGTTCCCTCGATTTTATTGCATGTAACTACTGTATGGCTGTATTGTCTGTAACGACTTTCTTTTATAACATTGGAATCAAAGAGCTTTTGGATTGGTAAAATATTATTTTATGCCTATGTGGCAACTTGAAAATAAAGAACAAAATTACAACCGAGAAAATATGTTTTTTATTAAAATGCAATTGTCCACTTACAGTCTGTGAAGATTGGACAAGAGTTTGTCAACATAATTGTATGCATATTTGTTATTAAAGCTGTGTGGGGTCGAGTAAATAAGAAATACTTTTATGTAGATCTACCACAGGTTGGTATGTTAACACCATGCTGGTCCAAAAGTGACATGTTAAGCCTACCTTAAAGGTGTAATCCCTTTAACTCTGATCCTAAAAGACTAAAAATTAATACATAACTGCTTGCAGTTTGCCCAATTACTTGTAGTTGACTTGAATGGAACAATTTCAGTAAATAAAGTGTTTAGAAAGATTGCTTACCAAGGATATGTGGCATGATGAATTCTACCCAGAGTGACCAGATTTCTCATCACCTCAGAAGTGTCAGAAATGACCTTGAAACCCACCTGTTGTATATGTATGCAGTTAAATGTCAAACATTTGCAAAAATGAAAAATTCTCTGGTTTCAACCTATTTTAGAACCTGGAATTCACCAGGTTAAATGCAAAGCAAATATTAACTGTGAGAGTGAGAAGTTTTTTTAAATCATTTTAATAGGAGCATCAACTATTTTGAGTTGACTTTCTATAAAGTCATTATTTTGCATCAAGTTTGGCAGGTGTTGTCACCACTGCTAAAGCAAGCCAAGGCTTATGATCTCATCCCCCTAGACTATAAGTGAAAAATATGATTCATAACATTTGTTTTGCATTGTGCGATCCACAGCCACATGGATTTAATCCATTGCATCGTATGTTTGGAGTTGTGCATTAGATTGAATAGCTACATGACCATACCATTACCTCTGTCAAAGGCTGCTGACTGATAGATCAGTTCTAGATATATGAAAATATCACAAATCAGGGGCGGATCTGGAAACCAACAAGGGGCCATATTTCAAGTCTGATGAAAAAATATCTTCGACTACCGGGATAAAAATTGGGCTCCTAATAAGTGGGCCCACATTTTGAAAATTGAAGGCCAATTTTCTTGATAATTTGGCCTTAAGTTTAAAAATAGCGCCTTAAAGGCCCAGTAAGGCCAAACAAGATAATCCAGTGAAAATGAAATACGAAGGCCATAATGCTATTTTGACAAAATGGATCCATGTCCACTTTTTATGAAAATACCACAGAGAAAAACAATGAACAAACTACATGTAAATTGTTACGTTCCAAAATAACAGAAAGTAAAAACAGCAATTAAAATATGATAACAATATATTTATATTTTGAAAACTAAATAATATAACAATAATATAAAGGAGGTTTAATACTTAAGTGATGTCCAATCAACGATACGGCTTATTCTTGATGTCGATAAATGTCGTTGGCGATCCTTGGGAATGTTCCAGATCACGAAATGTTTTAATAATCGTTAATAGTTCTCCAATGTTTGTAATAATCCAATAATGTTTGTTGTAATCCTATAATGTTCGTATCCAATAATGTTTGATGATAATCCACAAATGTTTGATGATAATCCACAAATGTTTAACGATAATCCACAAATGTTTATGATAATCCACGAATGTATATGATAATCCGTATATAGTGTGTGTTATAATATATGTCCATATAAAGTCCTCAGGTTGTATGTTTGCACTGTTATAAATGTTCCCAAAGTAGGTGTCTGTAATTTTCTGCTAAGAAGATGTCCTTTTGATAGACTTTGAAATTCTGCTACAGAGTAGATGTCCAGTTATGATGACTTAATTTATCTGCTAATGAGAGTCACTGTGCTGTTCTTTTTATAATGTGAAAGAATGATCCAGAAACGAATCTTCTGGAACTACATCTTGATTGGACATCTTTAGTGACATGATTAAATTTTAATGAATGGTTATAATTTCTAGAACTATCTGGATGGTCAAGGGTTAATGAGTCATTCAGTTCAGTTTTGTTTACAAGATAAAGTGTATAATGTCATTGTGACCTTGACCTAAGATCTCTAATAAAGAATAGCTCAACATATACAGCAAGCATAGATTACAAATTAAACTATAGGTGAATATAGTAGAATATAATATACATGTAGCTCACTACTGTAACACCTCCCTCCTTAAAATAAAAGTTTTGAATGCAATGAAAAACTTTTACAATAATATCTTGAGTAGCGAGCATTACAATTTCTAAAAGTGAGGTTGAGACTTACATAATATTTGTTTACAATAGTCTTTTTATGTGCAGTATGTTTACAAGTATATAATACTTTCTATCGTTACAGTGTGAGTACAATCTAATAACATATAATGTTCTTATAATCCCATACTACAATAATATCTACATAAGTTATGCATTAAGTCATAAATACAATACACGCAATAGATCATATAACATGTACAATAGCAAACATTTTTGAGTCTGACAAACACTAAACTAGTACAATGTTTTAAATTATCACATGATCTTATGTAAGTATTTCTAATAGTACAATCTCGTATTATCTAGTGATCTAGTGACACTATTTAATGATCACCTATGATGCTCACATAATCTTAATACAATCTTATAGTTCACATAATATCAATTTCACTATTTAGGCAAATGTTTTTATGTACAGTATATAAGTGACAGTTATCTCAAATCTCCAATTTGCCTATCATATAATATAATCTTCATGAGTTAATCATTATAATTTACAATATCTGACTCTTGAATAACATACATGTATAGTTGTCATTGACATACAAGTTTGGCCTGAGAGCTAAGAGCACAAGCTCATGTTGAGTAAAGAAATTTTATCACGCTCAACATACCGTTTCATCATATGTAACTCTCTACACCTCACAGGAGTAGTTTTATCAATGCAAATGAAATCATTCAGCACTGAGTAAGATTGTAAGTTGGATATAAGCTCCTTTGGTAGCCCAACTAATGTGAAATAGTTGATTTGTGATTTCACAATATACTTGGTTTTGTTATTCCTAAGCATAAGGAGTGATTTTATTTCTGTAAACTGTGTGGCCATAGACAGAATAGTGAGCAGATATTGATTATTAGATTTTGTTTTTGGTAATGGACCAACACAGTCAATAAGAACCTTACTAAATGGTTCATCAAATGCAGGTATAAGTTGTAAAGGAGTAATTGAGATTTTCTGGTTAGGTTTCCCTACCATTTGACATGTATGACAAGACCTACAATACTCTTGGACATCTTGTTTTAATTTGGGCCAATAGAAATGATTGAGTATTTTATGGTATGTTTTAGTTACTCCTAAATGACCTGCCATGGGAGAATCATGAGCTAGACTCAAGATTTCCTTATGATATGATTTTGGGACAACAATTTGATGTACAATTGCCCAATCATCTTCAGGGGAAGCTTCAGGGGGTCTCCACTTTCGCATTAATATGCCATCCTTTTTGTAGAAACAAACAGGGACCTTGACAGCTTCATCAATAGTAAGACATCTTTTATGAAGATCAATGAGTGATGGATCATGCTCTTGTTCATAAATTAACATGTGTTTTGAATGAGGATCATTTTTCAAAGAATCACTATCAGA